TGTGAATCTTGTAAAATAATTAACTAACATTAAGAGACAATATTGAATTTTAAAGAAGTAGAAATAAAAGTAGTTTGACGAAGAGAAAAACAAAAATCAAGCGCTTTGGTATTTAAAGAAGCAATTTCCTAATTTAGTGAATTGCTAAGATTATTCATTTAGGTGTTTGTGTACTTGAAACGTCAACGACAAGCAGTTCCTGTGCTGTTAGGTACTATATTAAAATAGTCTTGTCCTATAAAAATGCCAGTTTTCTCGTAATATAGGTCACTTTTTTATAATTTTTCGCAGTCTCTCCCACATCCCCTATAAACTTTACTTTGAGGACGTGATACCTTTATTAAGTTACAGGGACATTTAAAAATTGGTTTAATGTTATAGAGCCGAGGCCTCCTCAGCTCCGCAGCCTTTATGTAAATCCTGAAAGATGTGCCGAGATTTTTAATGAAACTGCGCAATTACTTTGATGAATACTGCATCCGTGATGTGACAACCGGAGGGGAGAATACCAGTAAATCTGAATTAACTGTTAAATGTCCGCATATTGATTTAAATTAAACTTCAAAATGTGTCTATTTACCACTCGATATTGAACTGAACTGAACGAACTTCAATGAAATTAAACATTGGATTTCATGTAAGCATTTCAATTGGTGCTCTTTGTTACGCATATCAAACAAACCATATCAGCGATATCCCACTTCACTTCGTAAACAGGGCAAATAAGACTTTTGTATTTGGATTCACATTTAAAAACATTTCAAACGATTTGATTTTGCGTTCGCAATATTTTTTACTGCCGCGTTCATAATTGACCTACCACTAGTGAAGGTTGAAATTTTGTACAAAGAATGCGCTGTTATGAATGTTTTTTTCGTATAAAATTACCCATAAATTGGCGTCAGCGACCAAAAATATTTTTAACAACAAACCACCAACATCAGAAAAACAGACAAGTTGAATAGTAAAAACTCGGCGGTTTTCAACATAATCTAATAAAAAAAGAGTGGATGCGACTCGCTTACGTAGCTAGAATTTTAATCAATTTTGAGGCCAATAACTGGAGCGGCCTATCCTTCGCAAATTACCGCCTTAAAAGTGTTTGCCTGACGATATTCGTCAAAAGAACGCTTTTAAATTACAAAAAGGAGTTCGTTTTGGCATTGTGCAGAATGGGGTCGATTACGTTGAAGATTGTATTACGTCTTACGATTGTTCGAAATAGAAGATTGACACCCTTTCTAAATTCGTCAGAAACAATTGAAGTGCCTTAAATTTATATATCGTCCTATTATACTATACATTACTAACTATCCACCGATTCACTAAATCAAGGAAAGATTTGCCACCATAACATTTTATACCAATATACTTTTACCATTTTCTTTGGAAGTCTTTCTTTGCGTACCATCACAACAATACATGTGTGGAGTAAGGTGGCACATACAATTGCTATTATTTAAAATGAGAGCTACGGTTGTTTACACTCCATGTGCTCTTGGATAGCTACAGTAGTCAATCTTATTGGTAAATGCTTGCAAACACTGGCGAAAAATTAGTAAAAGATGGCTGCAGCTGTTTTAGCCTTGAGAGCATCACGTTTCGCGTCCAGGTCTGACAGTTTCAAAAGCCTAAAATTTGTTGTAGCTATAAATGTACATACAATAATCATTTCCTCTTACGTTCGCTAGAGATCTTTCTCGGAACGAGATAATCTCAGACAGAGTACTAAAAAAAACCGACCCCAAAAGTGCGTGGAATTACATCTATTTGCCAAGTTATATTGAAGTTTTGCCAAGTTATATCGGTTACCGGAAAGTGCGCAAACCCGGATTCATCCCCTAGTTCGTCACTATACGGAATTTGACTCAGGAGATAATAAAAATCGGTTCGCACTACTCAAAAGTATATTGAGAGAGAAAAACGCCTTGAATTGGAGAATAGCAAAATCAACCACAAAAATAATTGCTCCTCATAAAAAAATTTTGGCGCTATTTATAAAAATGAATCTTCATGCATCAAGGGTGGCTGCACCCTTAGAGGTGGATGATTTTCTTCAAAATTTAATGGGACCACAATGGAGATTCCCCTTTTTCGAACAAAAAAAGAATCATCAAAATCGGTTCACAAATACCGGATTTATCGCGTAATATACATGCAAAAAAAACATACAGTCGAATTGAGAACCTCCTCCTTTTTTTCAAGTCGGTTAAAAACAAATTTAGAACCCTTTTCAAAAGCTATTGAAAGATAGTCAAAATGTCGTCGCGCTTTGTGCCGAAGAACGCCTGAGGCCACTTTGTTAATGAGTTCTACATTCACCGAAACTTTATATATCTAGTTCTTGGCCGTTGTGGGCAGTTATTGATCTCAAGCGTTCCTTAAGAAATTTTAGTAATACTATTTTATTAATAATACTGGTATTTCGCATTTATTAGACTAGAAATTGTTGTCATCATGTGAGGCGATGAGGGGATGTTGGGAGTTTTCAATAGTTTTAATGCAACATTAACTGTATATTCAATATTGTAGTGTGACAACTTTCTTCTCTCTCGGTGTCGGAATAAAGAGTACGTGTACTTACTGTGATATCAAGTTTCATTTTAAATACATAGCGTTGTTTTCTCCAGCCCTGTGGCATATAAGGCAGCTGCCGAACAGTATTTTGTTTTTTTTTTGTTTTGTATGATACTAAGGGTCGTATTCCAGAACTCAAGTCAGGATTTGAACAGATTTGAGTATGATTTCAAGCACTGGAAATACGACTCTAATGGCAAGGACTTGAGTATGATTTTCAGTGCTCACTGCAATACTCAAGTCCTGAATTGAGTATTGAGTAGAGTTCTGGAATACGACCCTTAGTGACGGAACGACCGAGTCGGCCGCCTGGTGGGAAGCGACACGCATTTCCATAGCAGTTGCAGTGCCACTCAGAACCTTCTAAAGTCGCAAAGATCTCAGGATCACTGCCACTACGCCTTATCCTTGAGACATGTGTTGACAAGTCCCTTGTGCTTGTAATTTTATCAGCACCCTTACCTACATCCAAATCCAAATTCAAAGCACTGTATAGTCAACACCTACTCTCACTTCAAAAATCTGAGTAGTGTTTTTATTATTTTACGTAGTCTGTCTAGAATCGAATGTTGTTGTTGCTTTGATCTATTCACATTATGTGTATAATTATATTATATACTAAAAACACTATACAACTTAATACCTCTTTACAATCACAATTTACTCCTACAGCTATTTATTTATTTATTACTCAGGACAACTTACAAACATACACAAACAATTGGTGAAAACAGTAGATATTGTGCCTCGAGGTTTTGTGTTGTTTCATTTACAAGTTGCCACAGTAAGCGTTTATACATAGGAGTATTAAAAAAAACTTAAAGCAATTGACTACTTACAAATTAACTTTTTAAGGTTATAATTATATTCACATTCGCTCATGTACTTACACATCAAACAGGTTATTTTAGATGCACTATTTACACTTTACTATGTATATTATTATTATCAATGTATAACTTTACGCGTAGTCGTTATATTATTGCTTTCAAATAACTTAGCTCTCTCGTTGGTCCTGACTGAAAACCAGCGCCTTGGGAAACTTTGGCATATGCTAAGTCAGCGCCGTTTCGCTGCTATGACTAACGTGTTATGTTTTTTCTTTTATGCTTAATATTTATTTGTGTTATATTAGTGAATAAAGTGTTTATCTATCTATCGACTCTTCAAAATCTGAACGCAATAATGTTCATATTACTGCTGTAGAAAAACCTAGGGCAGTTACTTCCCTGAACGAAATCTTTCACAAGAAGCTCTACTGCTACAACATATTGTGTCACGGCACTTTGAAAAGTTTATTTACTACGTTCAGAAAATAGAAAAAAAAGTTTATTTTCTTTCTTACAAACTACAAGATTCATCTGATCATAGTTTGTGAGGAAGCTGGAATCTAATCTAGGTAGAAGCCTGTGCTATAGCTTCCAGCCCCCAAGTTGAACTAAGAATTTAATTTAAAATTGTCACTAACAGTTTCAGTTTCACGAATTTAGTTGCCTGAGTTTCGAAATGTGTGAAAACAAGCAAGTAACATAAATTATCAGTACCAGACATCCGTAGCTCTAAACTACTGAGCTACGACGTAGGTATCGTAGCTTTTATAGGGCTACGTTTAACTGGTCTTTATAAATTGAATAAATACATGAGCGGTATTGTTTCTAGGAAAGGAGTGGAATTATACGTACTAAGAATAAATAAAAAAGGGATGATATATGATGTAATATAAATTTTTTTTATAGCATCAAGTGACGGGACGGACAAGTCGTGCGTCTGATGGTAAGCAACACGCCTGTCCATAACAGTTACAGTGCCACTCAGAACTTTATATTGCAAAAATCTGAGGTGCACTACCACTGCGCCCGTCACCCTGAGATATAAGTTGACAAGTCCCATGTACTTGTAATTTCACCAGCACCCTTACCCGGAACACAGTAATGCTGACATTAGTGCTTGGCGGCAGAAATAGGTAAGGTGACAGTACTCCCCTGGACGAACTCTTTCACAAGGAGCTCTGCTGCTACTAAAACATATAAACAATCATAACCCATTCCAAATTAAGTTAATTTTATTATGGAATTAATTATATTTGAAAAATAATTATATTTACAATACTTGAGGCAAATTATAACTAAAACCACGGAACTATTTTATTTGAAACTATCGCTGATATTTTGGTTGTCAGTTCGTAATTATTTGTTCATCAACTACACGCTAATTACTTGCATTACAAACCAACCACAGTCAATACATTGTTTATAAATCAAACATCACTTCCCTGGTGCAGCTAAATCTAAATCAGCTGAACTTTTAATGCGTATTGATCTAATTCGGTTTAAAGGATGAATTTATAAAAGAATACCCCAATTTTCGTTTGTTCTGCTTCTCTTTGTCAACGTAGAGCTAAGGTCGTTTTTCTTTTGTTTCAGATAGTATTTACGAGCCAGCGACAGCGACGCGTATAGAACAAGCATCAATCCGTGCGCGAACAAAGGAGCACGTTACGAAGTGAAATAGTTTCAATTTGTATCGAAAGTTTGAATGTGAGCGAGAGCGGCGAGAAGTGGCAGGTGTTGCGGGGACCATGAGGCGGAGGGGAGGAGGGGGATAGCATGACAGCGCCTGCCACGGCGGCCTGATGGCGCTAGTGCGCCGCATACTAGGCGACGCCCAGGTAAGCTCTACCTTACAGTGCCTTACATAAAACACACCATGCTACTACCCACACAGTCGATTAACAGCATTAGCACGCACCACGCGCCACCGGGCTTTGTAAAACAAACTTCACAGGAAAGCTTGACAACATCCTGCCGCAGGAAAATAACACGCGTGAACAACACGTACACGCGACTTAACACCGATTAGTTTAGTCCACCGTGCGCCATTTAATACTTTAATACTCTTATAGGCTTCACTTTAATTTGCCTATTACCCTCAACACAGTCAACCCCTAAACTGCGATCAAACGTGCACCCCTAAACGACCATTACGATTTCGTCAAACGGTGGCAGGTGAATTAACTTAATAGGACGACATTGCGTCGATTATTACGCACCGATAAGGCGTCATCGGATCATTACCTAAATGTGTGGCTGTTAAAACCCTGCGCTTACTAAGTGAACTTGTTTATGGATGGCCTATACTTTGTCTCATAACAGCATATTTGGAAGGGGTAAGCTTTAAAAGGGTGCCTCAGAAATTTCGTTTAGCGACGAAATCCTTTGCTTTTTCCGTTCAAACCGTTCAATACTGAAGAAATTAACCTCAGCAACGAAAAAACACATCAACAATATTCACAAATAATTTAGGCATACAAATCTAGACTAGACTAAACTTGATATTGCCAGGCGAAACTCCGCAAGATGGTGGACGAGCAAGTGTCGGTGGGCGCTCGGGTGGAAGCGGAGGAACCCGAGCCAGCCGACCCGCTCATCACACCGGCGAGCTCAGCACTCGACAGGTCCGACCTGGACCCTCGGCCAATACCGCCCGAACGCCGGCTGCTCATCGGCACACTTGATAAGAGAAATGGTTCACTCAACGGGGATAAAGAAGGGACCCTCAACAGAACTCGACTTTCTCTCAGGAATGGAAAGGATAATCCTTTCGTAGGTGAGTTCTGTGGATGAAAGTTCTATAGAAATAATAGATATCATTAGAATTAATGTAGAACCTTACTATCTACACCTTTGGGGAAGCCCGTGACCCGCAGTTGATATACTATGGTAAGGGATAAATGGAGACAAGAACAAATAACACGCTTCTAAACATATTTGAATTAGAAGCGGCACAGCGTCTCGCTACAATAATTACCAATTGAAAGTTGCAGAAAATTGAAATTGAATTAAAGTTAACAAAGAATTTAATTTTAGATGACGACAATAAAGAAAACCAAGCAAACGGCAAACTAGAATCTCCGGTGCGATGGTCAACACAAAACGGAAGCGACAGCGGCACGTACGCGGAAATTGGCACTGGTGGGAACAGTAACACCAGCGAGAGAAACGTGCTAGATCCAGCAGATAGTTCTGAAGAGGAGGTGCCTTTACCTGACGCTACATCACCCGGCAGGAGTAGCGAAGGTCCTGAACCACGAGCTGATATTACGGCGTCTCTTGATGGAGGTAAGATATTAAACATACTATAAAAAAGTCATTTAGTTAAGGAAACAGACAAAAGCTTTATATACTTCCAAAGGTAATTATGTCTTAAATCTTTTTATATTGTGCAGTGTTGAGTAGGTACGAAAAACAAAAAGGGGTCTCATTTTTAATAAAAGTTTACTAGTCATTTGTGATATTTTTTGTTTCTTTTAAAACAGCAATTTATAATCTGAAGCCTGCTCCATTGTAAGAGGCATACATATAAAGTAAATAATGCCTTTTGTTCGCGACGCTCGTACTTACATTCAATCAATCAAACAGACATTTAACACGGAAAAGGTACCTTTTCGCATTACATATACATCATCAAGTCAGAAACAAATAACAGAGAAGTACAGCAAATATAAACATTGAGTTTGCGTTTATCTCAGCGTCAGCTCGTAATCCAAATAATAGTTCCTAACTAGTCGAGTCTAGAATACTTGTTTGGCTGATGAAGTAAGTTGGAAGTTAGTTTGAAATTCTTCATCGCCTCGCTACAGGAACAGAATGTTATGAGGGTCGCTTATAACAGCGTATTAAAGTAGGTCGAGAAAACTTGTGTTGTTCTTAAATCACGCTGCAGCTACTCTCATAGAAATAAGTATCTCACCGACTCGATATTTTGTCATGCATTAAATAACCTTACTCATTTTTTTAGATTTTTTCCTAAGTATTCCTAATTCGAATATCATGATAGTAAAACATTGTAACATTCAATAAACTTAATATTACAATCATCGCGACATATCTAGTCAGCCGCTGATAGCTGTAAAGGTACCTGGCTATGTGAAAAAAAAATTTTCATAGATTTCTCACAAATAGCGTTACGTCAAGAAGTCGTTAAAAACCACAAACAAAGATCTGCAACAAGCACATACAAAAACTTGTAAAGCCTGCTGGATCGTTTCGTAGCTCAGTTGGGAGAGCATCTGACACGGTATCTAGCCGAATCGAAGGAATTTTTCTTAGGGGTTCGATCTTTATATTAATAAATAATTATAACAAACGAATGGAGTTATTTAACAAAAAATAATTGAATACCATGGTAGTAAAACGTCGTGTTACTCAATAAACTCAATATTGTTCCTAACTTTGTTAAATTCTCTAGTTAGTTGCGAGTAAATAAGCCTTATACAAGCAATGTGAGAAAACGCAAGGCAAGGTAATTGATACTAAGTTATTTCTAGTAAAAACAATGTATATACGTAGCTCCCTTAGGTAGAATATTTCCTTCGTAATGAGCCGGCAGCCTTGGGGAATATGCTCATTTGCCGACTAACTACAGAAACAACCGACTTCGCAAGAACTAACTTACTATTCGATATATATCCTTATAATGCACACCGAAATTTAATTATCTATAATGATTATGTTCTAGTGAGAAAATGGATATGGTTTTTGTGAAAGCAAAACCTTCATAGATTTCTCACAGATGGCGCTACGGCAAAAGAGTCGTTAAAAACTAATCCATTTAGATTCAGGTGCAGTAAATTGCAAATGTCTGTGTCAATCTCACTAGCAAATGCAATGCTTTAATGCCGTATTGACGTTGTGGATCGAGGCAGAATAATAGGATCAGTGAGAAATTACGAGACGGTGGCATCGTCGTCGTGCAATTTACCGCCTCCCAATGGACTGATCCATGAGCAACCTACTATTTCCAGCCCCGTATTAATATACCGACTTCTCGCCTTGCTCCGAACCTCATTTCGCTTCGAGATAATTTGTCACAAGCCTTTTGTTTTTGTTATTTATTCTTTTCTCATCCGAGAGTTTCAGGGTGTCCAGGCTTCTTTGTACGGTTATGGCAGGAAATATGAATGTTCGTTCACCATTCGTTCCTTCGTTCGTATTCGTTCATTCGTTCCACCTCCACCACCACCTCCCATTAAGTGGCTCGTCTGGTTGTTTGCCTCCTTCTTTACATAAAGAAAAAAGGCATGTCGCCGGAGGAGAAGCGGGGAAAACTGTTTTGTTAGATCAAATGGTTTTGGTATTTACCATTATATAAAAAGTATACAATATACCTAAGGATATTGTATAAAGAATGTGCTAATGTGTTATACGATAGGATGTACTTTGTCCAATCATATAAAATCTTAAAAACAGGCTAAAACAAATTATTTCAGAATAAAATATGTGACTTTGTGCATTATTTCTTTACGGAGATATTTCTTTTTAAGTACTACAGAGAACGTGCTAAATTTTGGTTTTCAACTGAAGTCCTATAGTTATTAAATTCACATTTATCCCAAAATTTGCAAATTGTGTACCGGTTTAACGAGACGCCCCGCGCCGCCCGCTGCCTCGTCAGTCACCATCGGGCGCTTATCGACTGTGTCAAATTTTCTCCGGAAGTTCTTAAAATAAGAACACGCGCTGTAAATTAATATGAATAAAATACTCATATTAATGAACAGCGCGTGGATTGCGGGTTGCGAGGAGAGACCCCCACACCTCACCTCCTAAAATCGCTCGCGGTGAAATACCTCGTCTTAAGAAATGAGTACAGACACAAAAACGTAATTTGTCGAAGTCAATACGCCAGTTGGGAACAGAAGGCACAATATAGTAGGCTTCATATACACCTGCGGTCCGGGCCTGACATGCTACTACAAGCAATCGATTCGTCTGGCCGGCCCAGCTTGTGGCTTTCGTGACTCGTGCAACTTTCACATTATTACGATGTTTACGTCGCCATAACCAATTCCATTTATATGGCTGTAGCGCCCTGTACTTTACGAAAGTTTCTATATCTACTTGAATAGTAGCGACTTATAAATTGAGGAGCATAACGCTAGCTTATGAATATTAACTAGACAATAATACACATTAAATTCATTGACATTAAACTGAAGATAATAAAATACGTTTATTATGGAAAGTAGGGTTTTTATCTATTTCATCAATTCGATCAGTGTCTTTAGTTATTATTTTTCAAGTTCGTGAGTTGTTTATTTATTGGTGTTCATTAAACGACTTCAAAAAAAAGAGGAGGTTCTCAATTCGTCTGCATTTTTTTTGTATGTGCATCACGCGATAACTTGTAAGCCGATTTTGATGATTCATTTTTGTTCGAAAGAGGGTACTTACCTCACTATTAGTCCCATTTAAATTTGAAGAAAATATTCCATCTCTAGGGGTGGCAAAATAGGGTACGAATCCCTTTCGTGCACTTTCCGGTAACAGATTTCAATAACACTTGGCAAATAGGTGTACTTCCACGAATTTTGAGGTCGGTTTTTTTTAAGTTTTAATTATTTACATTCATGTTAAGGTGCAGCGTCGCCGGGTGGGAGATCGGACCTGTCGCGTCAGGACGAAGTGTCGGCTTCGCCAGGGATGCTCACTGCGGCCCAGCTCGCCAGGAGATTGCGGCTTGAAAATGAGCGGTTACAGGTTAGTTTTTAGAATTAAAGTCAATATTTCATAAACTTTCCAGTATTTAAACTTTACAGTAACTTTTGTCTAATATTATATTTGTCTTTATATATAATTTCAACGATATGCCAACAGAGTAAAGTTTAAATTTCCAGTAGTAAAGAACAATGGCGAAATTATTGTTAAAAGAATTCTTAGCGTCTTCGAATGTCGTAATTACAATTTATAATTTATAATTATAATTAATACAAGCTTAAATAAAATAACTTCATTGGATTTTTCAAATTATACTAAAGGCCTGTCTAAGTCTGATAAATGAAATGGTAAATAAAATCATATTTAAATGAAACTCAAATGACTAATTAGTATGTAACTGGACTGATAATCTATAACTGTCAGTATCTTAGTTTCTTATCGTTGAGCGACATCTAACCTCCAATACGAGATCTTCAAAATACTTACGTATAGATTGGTCCACATTGAGTTAGTTCACGTAATATCAAATTCGATCGATTTGCAACAAGAGATTAAGTACTTTATTACAAAAAATAATGTAGATATTTCTCTCTCCAAATATGCGACGCCATATACGCGAGAAAACGGTAAAACTGACAAATAAAGTTTCCGATATCAGGAATAATAATAACGCACACACTCGACATAGCCCCGCATTAGGGAAACCCTGTGTCGCGGGTGCCATGGACACACAAATAGACAATTACAAATTACACCCAAACTCACGAGACAAATAAATGTAGGCCATACAAATATTTCTCCCGGCCCGGGAATCGAACCTGGGACCTCTGCATGGCAGTCCGGCATGGTAACCGTTCGGCCACGGAGGCAGTTTAATAGAAATAGAAGGCATAGAAGGCATATTTAAAAAATGTGCCTGAGTTACCAGGGCATGGTATGTATTAACGTGGTATTAACAAAGTTTTCTTTTGTTATGGCTTAACTTCATGCCTTTTGATCATAAAAAAATATTTTCCTCTGAACTTTCGTCACGTCGCAAGCAGCTTCTTTGAGCTCTGTTGAAGGTTTGTTTATTTTTTTTTATATAATAATTAAATACACTTAATATATTTTATTCGATTATGTAAAATATGACCGCCAAAGCGTCAAACTGAAATATCTATAACTCCAGACTTTTTATATAGTAAGCCCAAAATCAAAATTGTTCAATCATTGAAACTCTATATTTTCACATATTTTTCATAAACAGACGCATACAAATTATGTCAACAGAAATTTGTGCGCCATTATTCTTTGTGTAATAGATTCCTATTCTTACAAATTAATTTGGCGAAAAAGTTAAACTGGTTCCAATGGGAACCAGTTTAACTTTTTATGTGCTTTTTATTGTGCATGTAACTTTTTGTGTGCTTGTGTGTGTTTTTAACATTTTTAACACATTTTTCTACTTAGTTATAACTAGTTTTAAAACCTAAATGTCACTTAGGCTTTTTTACTTCTCGGCTGTCGATATAAATATCAAATAACCATATTTAACATTTTTAACCCACTTCAAAAAAAGGAGGAGGTTCTCAATTAGACTGCATGTTTTTTTATGTATGTTACGAGATAACTCCGGTATTTGTGAACCAATTTTCATGATTTTTTTTTTTGTTGGAAAGAGGGTACCTCCATAGTGGTCCCATTTAATTTTGAAGAAAATTATCCACCTCTAAGAGTGGCTGTTCACGCATGAAGATTCATTTTTATAAATAGCGTCTAAATTTTGTTATAAGGAGCAATTATTTTTATGGTTGATTTTGCTATTCTCTAATTCAAGGCGTTTTTCTCTCTCAATATACTTTGAGTAGTGATTGATCTATTATTTAAATAATTGGAAGTTGAACTAACAGGATGAATTTCGTCCAATTAGTTGAACTTATTGGAATATTTGTGTCCGATTAGTTCAACTGATTGAACTTATAGTTGAACTGAGTGGAGTAGATCTAGTGAGAACCGATTTCTATTATCTCCTGTGTCGAGTTCCGTATAATGGCGAACTAGGGGTTGAATCCGGGTTTGCGGTAACCGATTTCAAAAGTACTTGGCAAATAGATGTAATTCCACGTACTTTTGAGGTCTATTTTTTAGTATTCTGTACTGAGATTATGTTATCATAAGAATGTTTAAACAAAGAAATAATTGAAAAAAGGGATGTGGATGTATATGACTACAGAAATACATATTATGTTCTCACAAAATACACAAAAATATTCATTGCTTCGTAAAAAAGAAATTAGGTAATTTGATGTGAAAGATTTCTCTCTTTACACGAAGACTCAAAAAAAATATATTTAAAAAAATAACGTGGCTGTATGTGACTACAGAAATACATATTAGGTACTCGTAATATACACAAAAATATTATTGTTTGGTAGAAAATAAATAAGGTAATTAGATGCGACTGATTATCTTAAAACAAAGGCTGTATTCGTCTTCAAATAATATCACCAAAAATTAAAAACCTCACTTAACTTAAAACCTTCTTAAAATTAAGAGGAAGACTAAGGATTTTGCTGTATAAGGCACAAAGAATTCTTTATCTCTATTTATACTTTCTTTCTTATTACAACAATTATTATTACTTATAATATGAATCTCAAATTATATATTTACACAAGCGAAAATCTAAATGGAAGCTACATGGTGAATGAACTCTACATGGCACTGAGTCCTAAAAGATTTAATTTATAAATAAAAATAATTTAATTTTATAATTCAGTAATCACTTGAATTTGATCGAGCATGATTCTTCGATTTTGATTGATATGTTCAATTATTTATTCATGACATATCAATTAATTATTACTTCAATTGAAATATGAATATAAAATAAATTAAACTAAATTTATTCCGGTCTGAGTGTTCCGGGTAGTGCCCCGGAGTGTTTTCCGTTGCTTTGGTATTTATAGTACTGTGAATTCCCAAGTTTGAGACCAGGCAATTGGTGTGAATGTCTCGCACATTATTAAGATAAAAATGTGGTTAAGTGTTGTTGAGTTCTTAGGTTTTCGCAATTGTTACATATAGGTAATGATACTATCGAGTTCTTAGGTTTTCGCAATTGTTACACAGAAAATGAAACTATTTTTCCGGATTTAAATCGCGTATAATTGTTTTTTCAAACAAACCGACGTTTCGGGCCCTTTACAGGTCCCATGGTCACGGTTGAATTGTCAGTCTGCCCTATTTCTTAATCTACTTGGCCTTCTGTAACAAATTTTACTTTATATGTACGTAGATACAACCTAAATCGATAGACAAGCATCAATTAAGTGATAATTGGTTAAAGTGGGTATTTGCTTTCGTAAGTAGTTTCTATAGCCAGTAAGTCAATAGTACAGTCATATACACAAGATATCTGACCCCCCAAGCTGACTTTATCGACCTTTTGGTTCTGAGCACAAAAATGTTGAGAAAATTGTTATACCAACTTAATCTTTAACTTGTGAGCCGTAAATTTATTTTGGTATGACTCCCTGGTGCAGACCAGCAGAGCGATTTGGTGATTTGTTAATCTATACATACCCACCCTACGCTTTATTAATGATATCTACCAACCCCACTTAAACAATTTCTAGTGAGCAAATATTGTGATTTGTTAACGTTAATATTAAAAAGTTAAACAATGCTGTTAAAAATATGACTTTAAAACAAAATAGTGCTCGTGGAATCGAACCACGGGTATTGTAACTAGCAGTCCATATCCGTACAACAAGCTGCTCGACCCATTTACTTGGTTGTTAAATGACGAAATATAGTATTGGATTTAAAAATATCTTGATCATCTTCAAGCACCACTCCACTGTATTGCTTATATCATAAAGTTGAAATTGCTTTAATTTTCTCTTTGTTCAATACTTAACGTCCAAAAGAGTCTCAGAACCAAAAGGTCGGTTTGGACATGTTAGGGAGTCAGGTATCTCATGTATAAGACAGTACCTAAGTATATGCTACTTATCTACATATATGACAGGCAGATGTGCTGGTAACTAAACACCATAAAGAGAGTAAATTTAAAAAAAACGACCACGAAAATTATGATTGATGTGAAAAAAAGCAGTGTTCCGTTCAAAAAGGTTTTCTCGCTCCGAGTGGCGGGCGGCGGCGACCGTCCGTATACCCGCACCCAGATTAGTTCATTCGCCTGAGCGAAATGTACGAAAGTGAAAAAGCGTGCTCCGCTAAGAGCACGTTACACACGGCGACGGTGTAACCGCTGAACGGTTCGGCCGCTAAACGTCTACCTTCAAACACACGCAACTTAAGCAACGATACGCGATGCAAACGCTATGCAATGGCGACGCGATGCAAGTTTTTAATGATTCATTATAAGCGACTGTATCAATGCAGTTGGGCGTTTGCATCTATGCAACCGCCTATAAATCGCAAGTGTCGCGACGCAACCTAATGCGCATTTGTATCGCTGCTAAAAGTAGCTGTGTGTAACTGCTCTAAAATCACACGGCCTGTATGTTCCATTTCGTCACCTTAATTTCTCACACTCTTATCTTAAAGCACAAAGTAACTGAAATGCAAAACATGCATTGTATGTACAAATTTGCAGACTGATTTCATATCACATTTCCTTTATATTCACATACTGGCTTTTACCTATTTAATAATAACGCACACTCAACATAGCCCCGCACTAGGGAAAGCCCGTGTCGCGGGTGCCATGGATACACACATAGACAGCCACAAATAAATGTAGGCCATACAAATATTTCTCCCGGCTCGGGAATCGAGCCTGGGACCTCTGCGTGGCAGTCTGGCATGACAACCGTTCGGCCACGGAGGCAGTTAAATTCAATGAACCTATTCTTAAAGTAATGCATCAAAATTAACATCCTTGATAAGAAATTTAAAATAAATATAAATTTTTGTCTGAGTAATCACTCTTTACAAGATACGTGATTGAGACAGTAAGGCATCGATTTGTAAACCTGCTCAATGCGAGAATTATTGGCTCAAATATTTGGCTTCAGTTGACTTAATTAGGGCAGCAAAGTTGTAATTCAATCATTTCAGACATTGCTAAAGTTCGATCGATATTTACATTGCCGACGGTCTCCTTCGGGTACCTAACCCCCATCCAATCAATGTTCGTGGGCTTGAACAGGTACATTATGAGCTCTATGCGTTGTGGATTAACAGATTATTATTAGGTAATATTAATTGTACAAAGCCAGAATCGCTGCGTAATTGTTATGTATTGTTTACCGTACAATATAATCCTATTACAAGGAATAATTATGCTCTCTGCTGAGTGTTAAATATAATAGGATGAATTACTAAAGTCGTTTGATAACACATTTTGTAGGCTAATGCACACAGACTCTTCCTTGTATTGCTAATTACCTATTTGGTGAGAATCTCTATTCAGATACTTAGTTTTCGATGTTATTGATTCTGTTTTCACACATTATAATCAAAATGTATTTGAGAAATACACTGCGTATTATACCTGTTATGGGTATCTATCTATACCTCCCACGTAAGTTATAGTAAGTCAAAATACCATTTTGTTTCGCTTTTTCACTTAAATGTATACTTTTTATGTATATTATAGGTTCCAAGTTTGTAAGTAAACAAAACTAAGTGAATTCTTTACTTTTAAACATGGAACCTATAATATACATAAAAAAGAAAATATTTAAGTTAAAAAGCAAATGGTATTTTGACTTACAACAACTCACGTGGGAGGCATTGGTATGTATTTATTATGTATGCACGAACTATGATCAAAAAAATTATGTAACTATATATTTTTCGTAGGCTGAGCTAACTCGAGTGCGTAGACTCTTGGTTGCGGCTGCAGAAAGGGGCGAGACCGGCAATACACTACTAGAGAGAGCCAAAGGAGAGGGCAGTCAGGAAGTCTCACCGGCACCATTGGACCCGCAGCAATTGGAAAAAGAGTTGCTTCTCGCCCGAGAAGCTATCAACTGTAAGTTATTATATTTACTCCTTCTGAAATTCGATGGGAGGGGTACATAGTTTTCGGATCCGTACGTATTCCGATCAGCAAAGTCAATGTCTCAAATTCTATCTATGTACTCGTAAATGTACATTAACATACATAGGGCGCACTATGAGTTTCCGAAACTGGCCACTTACATAAACAATATTTAAAAAGTAATTACAACATTTGAAAATGAACTGGACACGTGGCTACTGTAGCTTTGGAGAATCGTAGTACCATGAATAGTGATTGGTACGTGACCATTTGTTCGCCGGAAGTTATTGACAAACTCCGTAAAAATAACCGTAAACGCCGTAGTCTCTTGCACCACGATAATGCCAGTTCTCACACGGCCAGACAGACAAATGAATTTTTGAAGGTGAACAACGTTGACCTTATGAACCATCCTGCGTACAGTCCCGACCTGACACCTTGTGACTTTTATTTATTTCCAAAAATTAAGAACCAGTTACGCGATCAACAGTTTTCATCGCCTGAAGAGGCTATCGAAGAGTACGAAAAATATGCTATATATAATATATAAATGTTTTCAAAATTGGTTCATTCGTATGAAAAAGCGCATTAACGCGTATGGAGAATATTTTGAGAAACAATAAATTCATTTTTGACCATTTATTAAGTATTTTTTTCTTATTCATTCCGGAAACTTATAGTGCGCCTCACGTACGAGTAGAAATGCTTTAATTCAAATCGACTCCTCCTATATAATCTATCGCAAGCCACAGAAGTAGGTGATTTTTTTTCATAAGTCTCTTAATGTTTTGTAGGTTTATTATACTCAGTAGTAAAATTATGAAGCATGAAAAATACTGGGTATTCACCAAATTTAATTGCAATAACTCAAGAATCGTAGATATTATGAACAAACCCGACTTATGTAACATTGCACCAATTTTTATCAGTATTTATGTACTTATGTAAGATTTATATTCTTATTGAATTTTTATAGTACTTTTATTATATTGTATTCTTTTAATTAATACTTACTTCTTCTCCATTTATTATTATTTTAATTTTATTGTATGTTGTCAACTGGAAATCAGCGCGGGGTTATACTCTGCCCCGCATATGCCAAGGTGGTGACCTATTCGACGGGGCATGCAGATTATACATACAATGCGTTATAGCATACAATGATTGGTTATTTTTGTCGAGCCTAAGTTTTTCTGTGTTTTCTCTTTTTTTCTTCATGTTATTACATTTCTTTTTATGTATTTTTGCGTTCATCGAATAAACGATTTTCTATTCTATTCTATTATGCTCGTTTTAGGACCTATTCCGCTAGTACCTAGCAAGTGAGAACAAGTGGATTACATTAAGAAGTTTCCCTGTAAAGTTGTGAATTTAGGCTTACAATTCTTTACGTAGGAGGAATTGAAATATGCGAGGTCCTAATATTGGAGGTGGCATATTTTTCCTACCGTATCTATGGCATACACTATATTGTCGCGGCTCAAAACTTAGTCACGGTAATCACGCGACAAGTAGCCGCTATGCTGAACTATGCATGGGATTTGTTTGCCATCGTGGTGAAAGGATTTGCCAATCGGCGTAAGGTTCTCACCGAGTGTTGCCAAGGGTGCGCCAGATGTACTAGGAATACGATTCGTACGTCATTGCGAGGAGGCTTCTTACGTGCACCCCACAACGTTCATATGGTGTAAGAAAGGCATAATTGTACAATTCAGAATTTTCCACGACAGAATAAAGTTACTTTTCATTTTGATTTAATTCCTATGCAACGACGACTCTCGTGCCATGTTATAAACGTTAAGATCTTGAAGCTACATCATTGTCCTTGTTTCTCTAGTAAATATACTTTAGATTATTTATGCCATAATTATCATAGTTCTGCCAAATCATTACGGAGGCAACTGCGTTCCAATTGGCCAGCCCGCATTCGAAACAATTGAGGGGTGTCGCCAATTGTGTCACATCAATTCGATCAGTTTAACTTGAGCTTTGCTATTATTGATGAAAATTGAAAAATTACATATTTAATTAATTATTTCATTGTGTGAAAAAATTATTCCGTTTGTTTTGTAATTAGATCTTTTGCTGTTCCCCCCCCCCCCTCTCCCATAATTCGAGATATTATCTTTATTACAATAAACAGAATATTTTTGGAATATACGGAGACGCACACAGACGTCAGTTGTTGGCGCTGTGTTATTTCAGCTGTCTAATTTGTGATTTCAGTGCAAACGAGAGTTTTAGATATTTAAAAGTGATATAAGGCCAATTTACCTGATGAGTTGCCAGGGATAGATGACCCTTATTTCGTCTTTATTTCTGGTTATATACTCGACGCATTGGATGAACGATATTATAAATATTATTAACTTACCTACAATTAAGATTTGATTCTGCATGTAGTTTAAATTAAAAACTAACATCATTAAAACGACTTTATTGTTAACAACAGACTAATCGATACGGTTGTTACTTTTAGACTTTATTTTATGTACAAGCAATAAAGAGGCTTACCCCGCATGTTGGTCAAGCGAATAATAATCCGGTATAAAGCCGATATCATAAAACTGACCAATATGCTGAGTGCACGCGCAATCCGATAGACTGAAGAGTATTGAACCTACATTTTGATAAACCATACTCGTGATAAAGTACCTGCGCTGCCCTGTGAGGGGCCACAGGTAAACAGGTCACGTTCGCCGTATGTGCTCCCAGAACTTCCACTGATATTTTCACTAACCTCATTACCCCGACCAAATTCGAAATAGGCACCGTAAAGTATAGGTACCATGAATATGAATTGAACACTACCCCATTTTGTTACGTGTTCTATCTAGCGTAAATTTTTCACCGAAAGAGTTCATAAGCAAAGAAAATAAAGAATTTGAATATAAATATTACTGTTCCGAAAGTGAACCAGTAGCTTCCTTGTTCGTTTTTAACATTATAGTAGCGTCGGCGTCGTTGGCTGGAAGTTTTTTCATTTACTAGGTAATTTTCATGTTAGTTTCTCTACCTGATTTCGGTGGCAATTTTTACAATATTATTATGAAGTATTATTTAATATTCGAGTGTAGTATTCTGAACTGCTATTTTATAATTGACGATAATTTACGCAGAGAAAGACTAACCTGAAAATAGTCCTATTATGAATTGCTTGCCAGCATTACATCCACTTTTGGCAAAACATTCGAGAAACCATTTCGATGTGTACCAAACGTCTTATACTATTCAGATACATCCCACGTTGAAATCAATGCAAAAAGTCAACTTTCGGGAAATTACGTCAAAAGTTCACGAAAATAAGTTTAAATTTCATAAAGCGAGACGTTCGAGTGACGATATAGTTTTGGACGTGCATATATATACACTAAACTAGCAATACACATTGAATAAAGCAATAATGCATGCAAATGAGCAAATTCAACTGGTGATGCTTCATATGCCACGCATGCGGGGGCGCGTTTCATGAAACACCGATCAAAGCTTATCTGCACAAGCAAGCCTCACTAATCACCAGATTATACCGTTAGTTACTGTGGTACCTCTCTTGATATCATGTTCTATGAATGGCATCCCATTACACACTCTGATTATTAATGTATTGATGAACCAGAATGACCGAGCAGCTTTCCCTATTGACAGACACTTAATTTAGTAAACTCTAAACACATCGTTTGATAACTTGACTATCGTTAAGACCGCAAGGTTTTAATTAAAACTTTGACCAGTTGGATACTGGAAAAAGCGAAAATCCACTTTCACAAATTCACGAACTTTGAAATTAGCATTTCAAATTCAATATATTCACGTTACCGAACAGAGACCGGGGATAAAAAAAACTTGAAATGTAAAATTAACTTCAATGCAGCGACACGCTTGTCGTAGAACTAAACATACAAAACTTCGTGAAAAATTAGAGAAATGCTTGTTATTTCGGTATAAAACTGCTTACGCTAACACATCCATTTGTCCGAGTTCAGTATCTGCACAGAAAATGGATCCACATATGTAAATCGGTTCGGAAAACGAACAGCATATACTTTGGAGGTTTGTACATGACGTGAAATCGCTCTAGAGTAGGTACATTTAGCAAAGTACACTTGAAATCTTTTACATATACACTTTGATCTTCAAAATTTCGAGTAAGTTGGTTTAGCTTGCTATGCTTTTTGATTGTTTGAGAAGCGAGTACAAAGTTGTTTTACAGATTGCAACATTCTATTTTATGCGGAAATCAAAATGTTCTCTTTTATTGCAGCATTGAAAGCTGACAAGAAGAGACTAAAGGCAGAAAAGTTTGATTTGTTAAATCAAATGAAGCAACTGTATGCCACACTCGAAGACAAGGAGAAGGAGCTACGTGACTTCATTAGGAATTACGAACAGGTAATTTTCTGACCAAATTGCAATCTTATTTGTTAAGTATACTCCACTCAAGCTAGTTCTCTTGTCCTCTGTGTTCACTACTAACATAGAAAGCAATTCTTATTAGAGAAAATGTCAACATAATTAATGACACTTTTGCTAGTAAAGGGTGCATACCAATGTAAACCTAAATTTAATTACCGGTTAATTATGATTAAGCACTGAATATGAAACAAATTTTCGATAACTTTTATTAGTACATTTCGAATGGGAATAAGTTATTTTTTTAAATCCACACATTGAATTGGTGACTTTTTATTATGCCATATGATGGGATGAACAAGTCGTGCACCTGGTGGTAAGCGACACGGTATTCATAACAGTTGAGAGCCACTCAGAGTTTTAAATCGCAAAGATCTTAGGGGTTCTGCCACTGCGCCCATCGCCCTGAGACATTAGTTGACAAATCCCATGTGCCTTTAATTTCACCCGCACCCTTACCCTTCCAAACCGGAAAGCAGTACACATTACTGCTTGGCGGCAAAAACAGGTAAGGTGATGCTACTGTGATTGACCTAGTTCAAAGAAGAGCAACTTGTTATGAGTTGACACTAGTTATTTAAGTCAGAACATGAGAATGTACTTTGTATGGGCAAAGTCTATGATTATGTGTAATATCATAAACAGATGCGTTCAAGAGGAGGATCATCGTCAGCTTTAGGAGCGGAAAGAGCAGAGCGCGAGCGCGAAAGAGCCGCGCTGTTGCGTCACGCACGGGACGAGGCTGAACGATCGCTTCAACTGGCTGCTGCTTTGAGTGCTCGAGACACGCAACTTCGCCATGCAAGGGAGCAGCTGTTTGAGGTAAGTACATTACCGTACTGTACAGTCGAGTGAGATAAATTTGGACGCAGCGACAAAAAATCATTTCAAATTGGAATAAGAAATCCGGACTTCAAAGAAGTAGTATTCTACAACAAAAAAATCCTTGAACATGTTTCAAATGGTAACATAAATAGAACGTAAAGTCAAGCCAACTCCAGCAGATTAGATATAAAGTAAAGTTATGATAAATGTAGCCCGCGATAGTCAGCGGCCATCCATCATCAACATGCTGTGTTAATTACCCCCTTTGCTGTCCGCCCCACTCCTGCACGATTTAAATAAAATTTATCGCAAATGCTACCGCAATATTGTTTTACTAACTTCGTTAACAAAAGCCAATTTTAACTTCTACAACAACTTATAATTTTAATCACGCAAAAAATTGGTTCACTGTTGGCAAGCTGTTAGCACAACTACGCTATTTTGTAGCAACAAAATTCAGGAAAGTTAAAGGATTTAACCATAATAATCATTCTAATATGATTAAGTAATAGTGTCGGTAGAAGCTCGTAAAACCGTCCTTTTTGAGTACTCAAATCTTGTTCATTTTAGACCCCCGATTGAAATTAATTGGGACATAGAAACAAATTTTCCGTGAATTAATAAAATCTACGACCATTGTAATAATACGTAATTGCCAAGTTTGGTTGGACTTCGAAAGAACTTTTGCAGAACGATGGAATTAAACCTCCATGAGTGGTGGAAAAGGATAAAATTAATGGAAATATTAAGTCTGCAAAGCTTAAAGCCTCCTCTATAATTAAATATTTTCGGAAAATATTTAGATGTCTTTAAAAATTCATGTTATTCGATTAGGCGCGCAGGCAACTCCAAGCGGCCGGGTGCCTGTCGGAGGGAGAGAGCGTGGCCTCCCTTGGAATCGGGCCACCAATGATGCTCGGGGGACCCTCAGGTCTCATCGGAGATCGGGGCAGCTGTAGCGCCGACTCCGGCGTCAGAGGTAATATTCAGCAACGTTCATTTACACACGTAAAACAGCGTACCTCAGGGAGGCATTATAAGGCCAACACATTATTGAGCTTACATGTAATTAATATTTCATAACTTATAACGTGAGTTGAAAAATTACGACCACATATATGAGGCAGCAAACAATTTCATTTATCAACAGTCAAATTATAAAGCCAAACAATGCATACCTTAAACATAATGGCTTGCTTGACGACTTGATTATGTAGGATTAGCAATGTTGCCAAGTATACGAGTAACAGAATACGTATTTATGTAGGCAGGTTAAATGGAGCCGGTTTGCTGACGGCTCAATTTAAATAATGAACTTGTTGACTAATGAATTCGCATTAAGCCATGTAAAGCTTTTTCGGGTGCCCTTGAATTGAAACACTCATAAACTGTATAATAATTATGATTAAAATTCTCAAGTTAGACAATCTATTGTTAACTTTTTTCCCCTTTATTGAAATCACCGCTTTTATAACTGAATACTTTGCGATTTAATAAAGGCTTGCTAGCAGTAGATTCTTTTTATAATTGATATGTTCGCACTTCACAGAGAATAACATAATTAAGTAGTGTACAGGGTCAAGAGCACTTCAAGCTTGACACTTCAGATTTAAATCCAACTCTATGCCATTTACGATAAGAACGGTCCAAAGTACAAAGTGTCAAGCTTGACGTACTCTTGACTGTATGTGCCAGTGACAGGTAGCAGCGATGGCGGGGCCACTTCGGTTTGTGGCGGAAATTTGTCAGACTCGACAGCAGAAGGCGGACCGCCGACTTTGGACGCTTACGACACCGACGCCGCTTCTCTCGTGTCTTCAGCTCATCATATTTATCAGCGTGAGTATCTTATTACGTATGACTATGCACTTACTATTTATTCAATTACTCCATCTGCTTCTTAGGGTGTCAACGTTTATTTACTAAAAGTGTGCAGTTGATAAGACCAGCTTTATTTCGTGTATGGAATAATGATCTCGTACGGATGGCAAATCAAAGCAATGGTGTTTTCCACTAGCCTAGATAGCGTCAGTTGTTTTATAATTGTTACATAATTAATTCTGATACTTTTATACTTTTGTTACTGTTAATGTCGGTATAATACTGCGTCACGTGGACTATCTTAAAAGCCTTAATAATTAAATCTTGCACTTTTTACGGTTGATTATTTTCATTTTTCGTTGGAGGAAAGCAAAGTCTTTCAAAGCGTCAAGCTTGAAGACTTCGTTATTCAAAAGGAACATTCAAGGACCATAAATTATACTTAGTAAGATTGTAATTACAAAAGCGTCCTTGGTAAATTAAAAACAGCCTCATACACCTGCGACATAAATTTGATAGATCCCGTAAAGACCGGCTTAATAACCGAGACACGCCATTTTGCGATTGCTCGTCATTTTATTACATTCCCGATTGCACTACTTAAAAAGACAATGTCATTTTCAGAAAATCAAATTCGGCATAAATTAATAACAAAAGAGGGTTTATGGATTAAAACAAAGAATAATTGTGTTACCGCAATACAAAGACAAAGACCATAATAATTTTTACATTTTCGTCAAAATTAACTCTTCTTTTTATCGTTTGCATGACATTCTCTCCGATCTTGGGCTATTTGCATCCAGGTTTTTCTGGTTACTTTCATTGTATCGTCTGTCCTTCTAGCGATCGATACTGCTGATATAGGCCTTTGGCCTCCATTCCAGCGGTCTTCTGCTCCACTAGTCATCGGCTCTACAGTTTAGGCGATTCCCGATTTCCGGTGTGTTTTTTATGTCGCTCTGAGGACTACCGGCAGCTTGTGCATGCATTGCTCCGTGAGGGTCCAAGTTTCCGCAGCGTATACGCACGTTACTTACCGTAGAATATTACTATATTTTCAAAAATAAGGATTGCTACATTATTCAAATAATCAAAGTTATAAACTTGATTATTTGCAATCCAATCCGTGAGATGCCTATGTAATTTCCTTTTGAAAACACTACGATGCTTACAAATCGTTTCAAACACATTCTACGCCTCTGTTCTTACTTAATTTATGCACCATTTTACAAATTCCCTCTTAAAGTTTAACAAAACAAAATTAATATCGTATTAGTATAGATATAGATAAAACAACTACTAAATACATAAAACACAGTATAATTTAGAGATACATAGATATATCTATATTTATGTTGCTAAATAAAAAAGGGAACGTCCATTGAGGGAACGAAACGACGAAATGGTATAAACATTTCGTGCAAAGTACTGAGTAAGTTTTGTCTATTTAATTATTACATTTAGGAAAAACAAAGCGGTAAAAATTTTCGCTTTGGAGGCAACCGCTTTATTACCGAAAGCATTATGTAACGACGAGATTGGGCCGTTTACGGCCCACAATGACAGATTCAGATAAGGTATTGTTGAAAGGATTTATTGTGTCTTTTACATACATGAGTTTGTTGTTTTCACCATTATTTTAGGACGCGTAATGCGTTTTATCTGATGTTTGAGGTTACCTAATGGGAATCGTGTTCCCGTACTTAAGTTGTGAATCCCAAATAAATATAAATTCTATTTGTTTGCTACGTTGCGGTGCTGTTAAATTCACGACTTGGAATATCGGTATTTTCAGGAACTGGTACCACTAAACTTGCTACAATACCGTACGTAGATGCTACTGGTGTAAATTATACTTGTATTTTCAGGAAATTGTTTCTTTGACGGTATTGGTATCAGTTATCTGGTATTATATGTTATTGTAACAACTGTATACCGATATATTGTTCCGGTACTAATTAAACTATTTAATAAAAATGAATGTATCGTTCTTTCTTCTGTTTTATATTCAAATACTATTTGTAAGTCAATGTTCAAATACAATTAAGTAATTAACGTGATTTACAGCCGCAGCCGAACGTAGCAAACTGGCAAAGTCGCGGGAACCGCTATTGAGTACTAGTACCTTTAAGTAAATATATCGGTTTTACATTAGTACCGGTATTTAGGTATCGAAATGGAATATAGCAGTATAATACATGTATTTTTATACCGGTCCCAAGCCCTGATTTACATAACTGATCTCTTCTACAGACAATATTAGCATGACCGTAATCTTTTCACAAAATAAATACAGAGCAAAATGTTAACGTTTCATTCGTAAAGATGGTTACACATCTTTACGACCATTAATATATTTTACCGAGATTTGTCCCGCCGCGTACCTTTTTTTAACTGACTTCAAAAAAAGGAGGAGATTCTCAATTCGACTGTATATTTTTTTTTGTATGTATGTTACGCGATAACTCCGGTATTTGTGAACCGCTTTTCGTGATTCTTTTTTGTTTGAAAGAGGGTACCTCCATAGTGGTCCCATTTAATTTTCATCACGCATGAACATTCATTTTTATAAGTAGTGACTGAATTTTATTTAAAGAACAATTATTTTAATGGTTGGTTTTGCTATCCCATAACACAAGTACTTTACTTACTTACTTTGGAATCAGAGCAACATACGTGATGTTGTCTAACATTTATTTATTTATTCTTCATATGAGTAGTGTACAGTGTACAACAAATTGACTACTAATGACTTATGTTTGTTTCAGTGAGTACACCGAGAGACTGCAGTCCTACTTTGTCACCACATAACAGTGGTTCGCCTTTTACGAGGTCTATCGATGCAGGATCACTTTCGAGGTATGCTTGAAATTTGTTACTTTTTACATCAGTTGTGCGTCTGGTGGTAAGCGACACGTCTACCCATAACAGTTGCGTGCTACTCAGATGTTTAAATCGCACTGCCGTTACACAATCTCCCTGAGACATAAAATTGTTATAGCAGTAGAGCTCCTTGTGAAAGAGTTCGTTCAGGTACTGCCACCTTGCCTATTTCTGCCGCCAAGTAGTAACTTCAGCATTACTGTGTTCTGGTTTTGAAGGGTAAGGGTGCTGGTGAAATTACAGGCCTTGTCAGCTTATGTCTCAGGGCGACGGGTGCAGTGGCAGTGCCGCTCAGATCTTTGAAATTTAATGCCCTGAGTAGCACTGCAACTGTTAAGGACAGGCGTGTAGTTTACCAACAGGCGCACGACTTGTTCGTCCCATTATTTGATGTTATAAAAAAAAGTTGGCTAAACCCATGTCCCTGTAATTTCACCAGCACCCTTATTCTTCAATCGCATGCTCGCTTTACTTCTTGGCGGCGGATATAGGTATGGTGGCAGTACTTCCCTGAGCGAACTCATTCACAAGCAACTCTATTACTATTATTTTTATGAACCGTCTTCAGCAAATCGAGTTCTAAGGCTTTTGCGATTCCTACATATTGGAAATTCAGCATAAAGATCTTATCCATTATTATGATTATTTTTGGCATACACTATCATGCGTGCCATCGCGGTGATAGATTTTGCCAATCGGCGTATGGTACTCGACGATTATTGTAAAGGGTGCAGCAGATGTACAGAAAGGTATAATAATACGGGGCCTATTCCACTTGTCTCTACCAGACGTTGTACGTCGTCCTAGTAGTACGTCGCGCGGGGTGATTCCTTTGTTGCACCCCACAAAATATAGATACAATTAAGATATTCAATAAAAACCTTCTAGTACAAAAATGATACCACAATCTGAATCGAATTTTTCGAAGACAAATAGTAAATAACATGCGTAAATTATTATATAATTCCCTGACCCCTTTTTAGTTATAAAGGTATAATCATAAATTGTCATAATACAAATAATTGTTTATAGTAATTCTGCTTTTGTGCCTACTAGTGTTGTAAAAAAATTTTTGAGGGAAGAAAACACAATGAAAGAATAAAAATACGTGAAAGAACCTTTTTTTTTTCTTTCATTTCTTTTTAAAAAATTATGAAAATAAACATATAACGGACATATTATATCTTTTTTATTTTAAATTGGCACTACGCTGCCTCTTTTGTTAATATTATTATTAATATATAAATTACTCAAAATAAATGGGCAACACAGGGAGTGTTTATACCTATGAACGGGAAATTCCCCAATAAAAAGATCCTCAATCATTGTTTACTTTATAATTTTAATTGAATTGTGTGCAGTGCAACGCACTCATGGTTGTTATCAAGTGTCAAGTGATCGTTAAATTGGAAATTCATATTTACACTATGTATTAAGTAAAATAATCACAATTAGTGCCAAAAAAAAACAATTTTAGAAAAAGTCATTTTCAATTAATTTTTTCAAAATTATGAAATAAGCGATGAGTTTTTTCAAGTTACATAACTAGTGCCTACTCACAAGTACATATTAATGGTAGTATGTAAATTACTAATTTAGTCGAGGATATGCATTATACAAAGGATATCTGTTACCTTGGATACCTTATGTAATCATTTTGCCTATATTAATAGCGAGACGAAATTTGTAAATCCCCCAATCTTAGCCACAGTGGTTATTAATTCCCACTTAGATGATACTAAACGACGCTTCATCCGACGGCTCAAGTCTTCAATTAATCAAGGACGTCGTATTGATCAACGTCGGCTTTGTTTATTGATATGATACCTTAAAATTAAAAAAACAATATTAAAAAAAACTGTTTTATTCGCTATTGAATTACCTTTTATTTTTCTTGATATTGATCAATAATTTCATTCTATATGATCTTTAGAAACGCATAAAACAAGATAAAGACAAAATTTGCTCAGTACAGTCATACTCTTTTGTCATTTTTTTTATGATTTATAGTAACGGGACGACCAAGTTATGCTCTGACACGCCTGTCTATAACAGTTACAGTGCCTCTCAGAACTTTAAATCGTAAAGATCTCAGGGAAAGTGCCACTACGCCCTTGGCCCTGACACATAAGTTGACAAGTCCCATGTGACCCATGTCCCAAATAAATTACTGCTTGGTTAAAAAGCTCAAAGTCACTCAACGAGCTACGGAGCGAGCAGTGCTCGGTTTTTCTCTACGTGATCGAATCAGAAATGAGGAGATCCGTAGAAGAACGAAAATCACAGATATAGCTCGAAGGATTAGCAAGTTGAAGTGGCAATGGGCATGGCACATAGCTCGTAGAACTGTCGGCCGTTAGGGCAGAAAGGTTCTTGAATGCAGACCACGAACCGGAAAGCGTTCAGTGAGACGGCCCCCTACTAGATGGACGGATGGCCTGGTAAGGGCGGCGGGTAACCGGTGGGTGCACGTCGCGTCCGATCGGCTGGTCTGGAAAACTTTTGGGGGGGGCTATGTTCAGCAGTTGACGTCTTCCGGCTGATATGATGATACTGCTTAGCGGTAGATATAATGTAGAGTAAGATGGTAGCACTTCTCTGGACGAACCTTTTCACAAGGAACTCTACTGCTGTTTGTACCTAAATGTATTGCATATATTAAATATATGCGTTGTTATTAAATAATGACGCTATTCGAAAAAATGCTTTCAAATAAACATACGAAACTACAAATTACGCAAATATACGGTATGATAATTTTTACAAAAAATTTTGTTCAATTTGATATTCATATCAGCAAGTAACTATAAATTCACTCAGTATGCGACGAGTATTCATAGAGATTTTTTGCTGTAGATCAGTGGAACAGCTATCGAGCCCGGGAGAATGCGAGGCGGCGTTGGTGGGAGGTCTGAGGTCCCGGGCGGGTGGCAAGGCGGGCCGTGGGCGCGGCTCTGCATGGGGGTCCATTTCTCGCGTGTTCGCCCGCAGCAGGCACCGCACTAAGTCTGGCAACGCTACCAGTGGCCATGAAAGTGGTAAGATATTCAAATTTGAGCTGACAACCTACCTAAGAAGTCAACGTTACATACAGGCTGTGACAAAAAGGAGCAATGAAACTTTGGGTTCTAGTTTTGATACTATGGTTTTTATTAATTCGAAATTGAAGTTAAAGTTTCTTTATAATTTAATAATTATAAAAAAATTTTAACTTCGATTTCCAATAATAAATCGAATAATAGTATCGATAATAATACACTAAAAAATTCCTTCGCTTCGGCTGGATTAGATCCAGCAACTTTAGATACCGTGCCTAACGCTCTCCCAACTGAGCTACGAAATGAACCAGCAGACGTTACGAATTTTTCTATGCGTTTGTTGTAGATCTTTGTTTTTGGTTTGTAACGACTTTTTTGCCGTAGACTTCAAGCGCTATATCGGGCAGTTAAAGCTTAAAATATAATTTCTAGACCCCTCTTAGCTAATAAATAAAGGTATAATCATAGATTATCATATAATTATATCTAGTGATTCTGTTTTTTACCTACTCAAAAGTTCACATAAGTACCAGGTTTACAATTTAGTCGACGATATGTTCCTATTTATTATGTTGAGATGACTACCTACCTGCTTTGAGCAACTAGATATGAATATATTGATACATAAATCACTTAATTGGTGATAAGGCAACCTAATCTGTACTGTCGATTACAGTTGTTATTATGAATTTCAACGAAACTTACAAAGTTATATTTTATGTGTAAGTAAAGTCCCATCTCCGGTGACACACACTTAACTGCAAGAAAAAAAATACGAAAATGAATTGATAATACCAAACCATTATAAAAGTTCAAATTTTCGCGGAAAAACTGAGACATGTATTACACATTCCTTTGTGTTCCATAGAGGGTGCAATTCCTATTGAAATTATATAAGATTATTTTAAGAGCTCTTCAAATTTGCTCGGCAGCTGTAAAAGCAAAAAAATAATCATTTTTTGCTCTTGTTCTGTAAATTTGTGCAATCGTCAGAGTGGTGACTGTTTCACCGAAGGTGCGATATATACACAAGTTCTTAAATATGCGGAGGGTTTCAGAACTATTTAAATATCCCTCATTTTTCACATTTATTTCAATTACAATCTTAGGTAAATAATTTTCCTATGTAAATACTTCACATTATGATATCTGTTTTGTTCGAAGTTGGTAAAGAGAAACAGGAAATGTACTAGGCAGCAATGCAATCCTAAACGTAGCGGCTTTGTCACTAGACTATGTGGCTTTTTGACATCAAAAGCGACACTTTATTTCTTTTTAACAACAAAAAGTTACGCGAAGTTTTTGGCGCCATTTCAATTAGGCTTTACCTCGTAACATTCAATACGATTTTATCTTAGCTGCTTTGAGAATTCGCCACTCAATTTTAGGATTTTTTTCAGGTGTATTGGTCTTTTGTCTGTGCTATGACTTTAAAGTTCGCCAATGAAATGATCTTTATAATAAATGTCGTAAGACATGAACCCATTTTTCATATAGAGTGGTAATACAGTTTTAGCGACAACTAGCGACTTTTATATCTTCTGTCTAGCAGCATTTGCTGTAGTTTAGTTGGCAATACTGCTACTAGAGACTGGAACCTGGAATTTCACGACAGGTTAGAAAGCTTAAATCTACGGATGGAAAAAAGTTTAAATAGTATAATTCCAATTGAAACTGTTTCGGAATTTATGTAACCCAAACAATTTTTTTACAATTAAATGGTAAATAATAATAATAATAATACTTTATTTCGGACCAACAACAATTATCCCTAGTTTGTTAGTAAAGAACTTAGGAATAAGGTTAGTATGATGCTATTCAAAGGCTAAAATTAAAATAAAATAAGATAATATTAAAATAAAAATTATACAATTAAAATTATAAAATATACAACCACGAATAATTACAACATTAAATATAGAGTTATAAAATTGAGATTGCTTAAATATAAAATTGAAATTAATTAAAACATCAACTGTATATTTCCGTAACCTCATTACAGAGTACTAAAACAACCGACCTCAAAAGTTGGTAGAATTACATCTATTTGTTAAGGTTTTATTGAAATCGGTTACCGGAAAGTGCGCAAAGCCGGATTCATCTCCTAGTTCGCCACTATACGGGACGAGGGAGGAACAAAAATTGGTGCTCATTGCTTAAAGTATATCGAGAGAAAAACGCCTTCAATTGGAGCATAGCAAAATCAACCATTAAAATAATTGCTCCTTATAAAACTTAGGCGCTATTTATAAAAATAAGTCTTCGTGCGTGAAGGGCCGGGGGGCCGTTGAAAGCTTGTCTTTCAACCATTAATACTTCAGTAATAGGCTCAGGAAGTAGACAAATTTTTGAAAAGTTCAGTTAGTAAGGCCACACTATTGATGCCATCAGTACCAGGAAACACAGCTAAAACTCGACCCAATTTCCATTTTAACGGTGGTAGATTGTCCTCCTCTAGAACTGTTAAAGCGTTAAACTTTATGTGTCTTTACAAGAACGCCATTTAATTCTCAGTTGAAGCTCTGAGAAATTGTCTTTGCTCCGTCTGCACCAAAACTGTTGTAGAAGTTTTTTTAATTTGCTGCAAACGATTCATGCGATTGTTTGGCACATCTTGATAATCCTTGTTTGGCAAGGAAGTGAGCGGTCTACCGATGATGAAATGTCCGGGTATCAATGGCATTATTTTCTGGATCACTCGAGAGAGGGGTAAGTGGTCGTCAATTGAGGATTGCTTCAATTTGGACAATTGTATACAGCTCTTCAAAAGTTAAGTTACAATTGCCCATGTAAATGATATTTGGTCGACCTTACACCGGCCTCCGAAATGTGGCGAATAAGCTGAAATAAAACAGAAATTTATTTCTTCATTGGCGGCCTCCACAGACAGCGAATGACAATTAATTTTTAAAAATTTTTAAAGGTCGTTGTAAGCACCAACAAATGATAGACCATTGTCGGAATATATGGTTTTGGGTTTCTCCCTACGCGCAATGAATCTGCGTAATGTTGATAAATAATTATTGCTTGTCAAGTCACCAAGTTGCCAACCAGTTTAATGTGGATAGCCTTTGTCGTGAAACATATAAAAAGGGCTACCTTCATTAGCCTATATTCACGATTTTGGCGACTAGCAGTTAAGTCCACTTATTTTGTCGATTTGAAGCTTATATATCCTTGAATCCAGGTAGACAAAATCTGGCTTCGGTCTAGGACCATGTACGAGACTTAACACAAGAGATACTAAAAATCATGCTCACTACTCAGAGTATACTGAGAGAAAAGTGCCTTCAATTGGAGCATCGCAAATTCAACGTTAAAATAATTGCTCTTTATAAAAATTTAGGCGCTATTTATAAAAATAAGTTTTCATGGGTAAAGACCACCCTAAGAAGTATAACGAATTGAAAATTGTTTGAATATTTTCTTCAAAATTAAATGGGATCACTACTGAGGTACCCTCTTTCCAATAAAAGTTATCGCGTAACATACACACATATAAAACACAGTTGAATTGAGAACCTCCTCCTTTTTTGAAGTCGGTTTAAATCACTAAGATAAATGTATTTCTGCATTTCTATATAGACCTCCGCCACGAACACAGACCGTATAAAATTGAGTGATCGAATTTTTCAATCTAGGCTAGGATTTCGAAGCAAATTCCGCTTCATTTTCACCTGTCACATGTAATAAATGAAATGATGACGCTGAAAGCATAGCTTTTGTCTCATTAATCTTATTATACATATATAAAAAAGACCCTTTTTCTTATTTTTATAATACAAATATCTAAAAATCTTAAGCTTGTCTATTTTCTATCCAGAAAGCTCAAACAAATCGTTTCACACATAGCCAGTAAGTGAATTACATGAATCAATATAAAGTATAAGCCTATGAACCCTTCCCTGTCTAAGGGCCTAATTATATTCAAATTTTCTCTTTCCCACAAAACTTGTAGGCTTGTACTCCTATCCAGACACATATCAAATGGTTTCACAAAGAACCGGCATAAATATGAGCAACCTAAATATTTTGATAATTTATTTTACTGAATATCATGATATTTTTACTAACACGATATTATTTTTCTTACATACTACACTCTTTATTGATACAAAGTTGAACAAACACAACGAGAAATTCCTTCGATCCGATTAAATGCGAACCAGCGTCTGTTGACTCCCCGTCGCTACCGTTTTTACCAATTGAGCTACAGATCGAGTCGAGAGATCTAACGAATCTCTCGATATGCTCGTTGCTGATCTTTGTATGCAGGGTTTAAATGGTGAGACAGATGCTGGTTGATGTCCAGTCAGATTAATTTCACCTTTTTCTTTGTTCGATCTTTGTATACAAAATAACCTAAATATTTAGTATAATCTTTCACGTCTGACTTCCAAGCATAAACTAGAAATAAAATGTATGAAACAGAACCAGTGTACGCCGGTACGGGCAGTACCCGCGCGTGGTCGCCTCTCGGTAGCGAGGCCGCTCTTCGTGAAGCAGCTTCCTTACCACTCGCTCGATGGCGGGCACCTGCCATCATAGCTTGGTTGGAGCTGGCCTTGGGCATGCCGCAGTACGCCGCTGCTGTTGCTGACAATGTTAAGAGTGGAAAGGTGAGTGGATATTTACTTTCATAAATATTAGAGAACATCACATAAGTTGCTCTGATCCTAGAGTGTAAGTAACTAATGCACTTGTGTTATTGTAATCGAAAACAACGACAATATCACAAGCACCCAGACCCGAGACAATATAGAAAAGTGTAAAATTTTTCTGTATTGGTCCGGTAGGAGATTGAACCCAAAACCTCAGAAATGGCGACATCATCATATGTGCAAGCCACTCGGTCACGGAGGTCGTCAAAATTCATAATAACTAAGTATATACTTTATATATTGTAATTTTAATTCAATAATAATGAGATTAGATTTGTTTTATTTATTTTGGTGACAGTTTTGTGTTATTTATTATCAGTTATAATTTTTTAATTTTATTTATTTATTTCTAATTTATAATTTTAATTTTGTAATTGTATATGGATTTGTTGAGACCAGAACAAAGGATTTGATTTGACATAAAGTTTTAGAGTGAATATCTCGTATGTAATACCTACGTAATTTTTCAGGACGAAGTTTAAAAATGTGGTATAAAATGTAGTGAACACAATCATGTTTAAAGTTAGCATTTTAATTGTCTAAATTATACCTCATTAAGATGCACTAATACTTTAATAACATATTTATAAGTTTTTGCCTCAACAAAATTCAGTAAAAACAAACTACCTGGGGAAATTACAAGTACATGGGACTTGTCAACTTACGCCCTACAAAAAACCCTACGTAATAATGCAAATGCTAGGTTTCCACTCTAAAGCGACTGTAAGGGTAACGGTAATAAAAGTTACGATAGCAGGTACTTTCCTGGTTCGTGAAATAGCACCTTTGCCGCAAAAAGTCTATAAAGTTCAGCTGGAATTGTGTAGTGTATCAATGAGTACATTAAAAGAGCAGAAGTGTGTGTTTTTTTACTTATTTAATTGATGTTTGTGTATTATTTAAACGTTTCAAGGACTGTACTTAATAATACTGCACACAAAAGTCGATACTTTCTTGCGATAGTATTAATATTGATTCAGTATAAAATGTTTAACGTATGTAAATTATTAAATTTTGTGAGTACAATGTTGATACTTCTCTATGAAAAAGCAGTAGGCCGCAACTGCATGGAAAGCACTTGGAAATTGCACTGTAAAGCCCGACGTTGGTTTCTTGAGATCCACATAGCGAAACGGGGTACCCGTACCAGTGCTCCGTCACTCGCTCAAGGTTACGGGATAAGTGGCTACCGCTGAGCGCGCCGACGTCGGCACAAAGTTATAGGTATCATCAACCTTTAAATTGAGATTGTTCTTCCCTACTATTACTTATTATATGTATACACTATGTATATTATAATAATTACCAAGTACTAAATAAATAGTTGTAATTTCAAATTTCAAAGTCTGACAAGTCTTCCGTTTACATTGCAACCCTAGCGCATTTAAGTTCCGCATGACTGCACACGGCGTGCAACGTATTTTCACTTCTCCGACCGCTTGCTCAGGTTCCTTTTTCCTTGTAGTAAGCGTCTGATGTTACTAGTCAGATTAAATAGGCCATTATAACGTAGGTATTTTGGATTTTGTATGAGAGTAATGTACCTGTTACGTAGTAACTATTAAGTGCCCGTACTATCATATTATAATATTTAATTTTACGGTAAACGCTGTTACTGTCCATGGAAGGGTTCATTACTGGTTAGTTTATAATATTATTAGTTTCTGTAGTTATAATAATGCAGTGTGCGTTTGCCATGACAATTGATTTAGTAAGCCATTTGCCGAAAAATTGTTATCGTAGCTCCTCTCCCTAGCTCCCTCCTATCGTAGGGATCCACCACCGTCCATAAAAATTATTAGAGTAGAAATTTTAACGATTGGCATGCACGTATTCATCGGTGTACAAAACCGCCGCACCGGTCGAAGCCTTTTCATCCCGCTCAAGCGTTAGGCTTTTCACAGTTTTAAATACGATCCAATTATGCAAAATCGTATTCAGCGGTACATTGACGGTCCGAATTACTCGCTTGATACTGGCTGCTAAAACATTGCGGCTTATCTTTTAAATACAAAAATCCCTTTTCCATTACTCCCTGTGTATTCATTATTCAGAATACGTATATTTTATTAGATCTATATGGAAATTCACGTCCCTATACAAAGTCCCTCATAAAATTCATCGTTACATTTGTTTATTCCAAACGCGTTTGTTTCCTCATTTACTAGGACATATTTTGGATTTCCTATATGTTTCGACAATATTCGTCTTCGATGACTAGAATTTTCAATAAGTTCTCTGTTCAATGAATAATAAGTTAATAAGGGAAGTAGCACGTGTTTACCGTGCTACATCGACAATCATTGTGCCTTGTTCATCAACAAGATTTGTATCAACAATCACAGGTTATGTATTACGAAAAGAAATTAGAATTTAGTCGGTAGCGTGTGGCGTGTGACGCGATAGTGGCGTCAAATATTGTGTTCTGGTTGGTTCTAGATCCGTGTGTTGAATGGGCAGGTTCTGCTCGAGTTGACGGATGCAGATCTGGAGGTGGGGCTGGGCATCTCGCAGCCGATGCATCGCAAGAAACTTCGCCTTGCCATCGAGGAGCGTCGCCGACCGGACCTAGTGCGCAACCCTAGCATTGGCCAATTGACTCACGCCTGGGTCGCCGCCGAATGGCTACCCGACTTAGGGCTGTCACAGGTCAGTAAACATTAGATTTCGCGAAATGTCCCGTAACTTTTCTCGTCATTTTTCTTTACACCTTATAACTTACAATTCTTCCTTTCCATATAAATCGCTTTAAGTACTTTGCAACCTTAAAGTTACAAATTACGTATTTACAAGGAGGAAAATTTGTATCCTGCTTTCTGGAAATTAATTAATTGGATTTGAACTTAATTCTATAAACTGTACTTAATCTTTATAACCAGGTCATCAATCTATTCATATTTTTTATTAGAACATATTGTACTGTTTACACAAGTAGGTAGGTTGCAGGTGAAATCATAATATAGTTCAGATGAAAAGGAAATAAAAATCGTGGAAAGTGGAAAACGTCGGAGAAAGTTACAAAATAAAAACATGTATAGTCCTTAACTTATATAGAGCTGGAGTGGTGGTGTTAATAAACAGGTTTGTCTGTAAGATACTAACAATCTCAAAGGACTATGTTACTGACATCATAAACAATAACTTGTGTTCCAAGACTTTTTCAAAACATAATAATTTTATCAAAAGTAAAGTACTAAGATGTTGTTGTTTTATCTGGCATTTTTTAGATCTGTATTGTTAGTAAGGTAGTACATTCAAACGTGCAACCGTCCGCCCCAACGACCCCCGCTCCTGTGTTTGACCCCCGCATCTGACTGATATTTAACTTAGCGGTTTCTTTTACTACCTCACAGAGTTATCACTATTTAGAGCGATCTAAACTACTACGCGCAAAACCGCTTTTGAGATTCCAACTTGATGATGGACTGTGGTGCACCTAACTTGTTCTTTCGATGAAAGAGAAACATAATGGCACACGTTTAACTGCGCGATTTGTCGTTCAGTATTTATGTAATATAAATCCGTTGGTATATTTATTCCTATTATAATTGTTGACATTAAATTGACAACGATAACTAATTTAGTTTATTAAAACTGATTTGTTATAGTATGTTTTTCTTTAATTTACCATTTTCCTAGCTATAGTGAGGTGAAAAGTTACGTTTCTCCCGGCAAACCTTTCTCTCGAATCTTGAAAACCTCGCAACGCTGAGGATTCTATTTTTCAATCTTAGAACCCTCAGGTTTCAGTACAAGCTCTCGCGTCAAACAACAACTTTGCAGCCTTGCATAACAAATAACTATTATTTTAGTATGAAAGTAAAATCTGATGAATTATATTATTAAAATAGGAAATGAAACTATTTCTCCGGATTTAAATCGCGTATATTTGTTTTTTCAAACAAACCGACGTTTCGGGCCTTTTACAGGTCCCATGGTCACGGTTGACTGAAAAATAGTTTCATTTCCTATGTGTAACAATCGCGAAAACCTAAGAACTCGATATATATTATTAAAAGTCTTTGAACAAAACTTGTTGATTATGATGTTAGTAATACAATCCTGCGAGGCTTTTCGTATATTACAAATAACCCTGCATAATGTATACATATATATATGGGGAAAACCAGAAGCCACCAACTTCAATTTCGGTTTGTTTTACACACTTTTAGCCGTTATTGACTTCAGCACGAAAGCGTCACATAATCTTATCTTGGCTTCTCTCATGGGACCTGCCTCGCTGCCGGTTATATTGTATTATCCATTATATAATAATCCGACTCCATGGTTTCACGTATTTGTGACTGACATCACACACTGGTCGGTCATAAATCTGCCAAATTTATGACCGGCAAGAGTGTAACTTTAACTTATTACTAGTTATTGCTTAAGATAGGTATTACTTGGTGATACTCCGTGTATATGCTACTACAGGTGAAGACTGACAATCAGCAATGCTGAGTCTGTACCCCTTATGTCTAAATCACTCAATTGTATTTTCTATTAGTTTTGAAGTAACGTGTATCCTATGTTTTGTGGAGAAATAAATGACTTTTTATTTTTTAAATGTCTTTTTTTAAATTGAAGTTTTTTGTGTTGGTAATATTTGTGTAGTACGCGGAGTCGTTCCTGGCGAACCTGGTTGATGCACGAATGCTGGACACGATCAGCAAGAAGGAACTGGAGAAATATCTCGGTGTAACGCGCAAGTTCCATCAGGCCTCCATCGTGCATGGCATACACTTGCTCAGGATTATGAAGTATGATAGACAGGTAACTTTGATTTTATTCTGTACAATTCATCCGTCTTAAATCCTACCTTTGGTATAACAAAGCCATAAGAGACTTCCTACATTAGCGACTTTCGAGTCTTGCCAACGCACGTACAGCGTCGACACGAGACGTCCGAACGGCGGTAGCCAACGAAATGTAGTATTCCTAACTAATTTGTGGACGCAACGCCAGTACTGAGCGACTGCTGAAAAGTGCCGAACGTCGGGAATAAGCCGCGCCGCGCTGGCGTTGCGCGTGCGTTGACAAGACGCTGACGCTCGAAAAACGCTAGTGTGAGGGGTCTCTTAGTGCTCATACGTCTAAAGCGTTTTTATTGCATGAAAGCCGTAAAATAAAACGAACTACACGAAGCTATTTATGCATTATTTTCTCATTTCTTTATTTTTTTTTTTGTTTATGTGTGTGAAAATAAATGTTTTAAATGTTATATGTGAAATTTTATAACTCTCCTGTTGAAATAATTATTTAAAATTGAATACCATGATGTGTTTACTACCATGAAATATATTTTTATAATATTTTTTGGGTAAAAGAGGAGATTCTTCTTTTTATAAAAATAAGTAAACGTGAAGATCTTTGTATCAATAATAGTAATCTATTTGAACATAAAAAAATATCGATTAGAATCTTTAAATACATATTTCTCTCTGAGTGTGTTCGAAACATCCTAAAAAAAAACCACTCCTGAAAAGTTGTCATGGTTCATATTATCTGGGCTTATTGTACCAAGGTTGCAAATAATTGTAAAAAACACTTTTGAAATTCGCACACAAATGCGGAGCCGAAATAAATTAAAAAAAAAAATTAAACAAAATGTTGAGGAAATTATTTAAAATACGATTTCATTTTTTTTTACATTCGCTTAGCAATCAACACTACTCAAATCGAATATTGGCGGTTTTTACTTTTCAAAATAAAACGTGAAAGTGAATTTCAAAATAAAAATGTTGTAACCATTGACCTATGTAACCAACACATATACAATTATTTGCTATCCATAAATGATCATACGTCGAAAGACTTTTTGTCATTATTATTATTATGTTATAAAAACGCTTTATGAAAAATTTTGCTATTTTGAAACAGGGTTAACTCGTGTGCCAAGAGTACGCGGAGTTCTACATACTTGAGCTCAGTCCGCCATTTTCGCTTTGAACGTTACACAGTCGTCGTGTTAATTATCTCGCGTAAAACTTCGAAAATCCTTGAAAAATGCCTTACTTCGCTACTTTGGATTGCAAAAATGTTAGTTACACTCGTAAATGGGTGATATTTACACATGGTGGTGTTGCAAAAGTCATCGTTAAGTCTTATTTTATTTTTATTTTAATAATTTAAAAATTTCTGTTTATCGTAATAATTTTTTTGTTACAAGAAACGAAAATAAGCTTATACCGTTGCGATACGGTCGCTTGTTTTTTGGAGAACTAAGTAAACATCTAGAAATCGCCGATGTTCAGCTATTGAGTGCTAGATGGCAGCACATTAATAAAAATTTGAATATAAAATCAAAACGTCGTAACTTGCAGTATTCGGTATTGAACTTTCAACGATATACCAACAGGGCAAATTTAAATTGCATTAACAGTCCATTTAAATCATTATCAAGACTTCATACTCTTTCAAATTATGAGTGTATGAGTTATTGCGACAACGGTTCTGATAGTAATAGCGGCTTAAGGCAGTTCCTTTGTTTTTTCTTACGTGTTCACTACAATATGTTGCGAATTAATTTTACCACCTATTACATTTCTTTCGTTCGAACAATAACAAACGGCCGTAAGGGACCGTAACCGTATTGACAAGTTCCGGAAATAAATAATGACAAAGTAAATGTATAATTCCACTTAGAAATGAAAACATTTTGATAACAAACGAAATACACAAAAAGAATACAACGCTTAATTCATAACAATGTCTGTGCTACTTATGATAATTGAATTCTTTAGTGGAAGCCTTTTTTTGACATGAAATAAAGAACCTAATGTCTTGCGCATAATTGCTTCGTCGCTCTACGAGTCAGTTTTTGCAAAATATTAAATAATGGCAACCGAATTTCGCTGTTTTGAAACAGCCATTTGATTATTTAAATCATAAGACAGGAAGTTTTAAAACGGTGGAATTTATTTTGGGAGGACTCGAATGTTCCCCAATTTTTGAAGTCGTCAAAAAAATTTTTCGATTTCCTGTACAAATAAAAAGCAGCTCCATTTAAAAAAACCCATTAATGTTTGTTTGGGTCTGTCAGCGCATGTGCGTAACCCTCATTTTATTTTTTATCTATAAAATTACTTTAAAACATACTAAAGGACAAAGGTAACTATTATATATTTGGAAGCCATTTTCATGTTTAAAAATTATCAATGTATCATATTGGTCATATAATATGATTACTATATTATATAATATACATTTATTACAACATTACATGCGTTGCTCTGATCCCTAAGCAAGTAAATAAGGCACTTGTATTATCGGAAACAACGATGGTACCACAAAAATCCAGACCCGAGACTCTATAGAAAATTTTGTTTCATTTTCTACATTGCCCCGGCCGGGGATCGAACTCGGAACCTCAGCGATGGCGACGCCATGACAACCAGCATGCAAGCCACTCAACCATGAATGTTGTCAAACATATTCACATCTACATTTTATATGTATATGCATTTCATGGACTTACAATTCTGCACTGGTAGCCTCATTTATAAAAAAAAACTAACAGTTTCAAAACAACAAACAGTTAAATTTTTTTGCCTTTAGTCTAAGGCGTGTGTACAATAAAGGTATTCAATAACCTCTTCGGCTGATGTTTGACAAAAGCAGAGCTGTATGGACCAACAACAACGATAATCCAGCAATAAAACGCTTCTTAATTGTAATGGAATCTATTAATCATATTGTTTATCTACCAACGCCCTATTCTCTTTCCAACTCTACAGCTTGTTTATTTTCCGTTTCTGACTATTATAATAAATTGTGTTTCTTTCCAACTGTGCATAATTCCCTTAATCACGTTTGAAAACTTTCCCTTTCGTAAATAAAAATATGGTGTTTTGAAATATTCTAATTCCGTATTTTCGTTTCTGAATAAGCAACCACGATTACAAACTGAGATGCTATTTTGGTATTCAATAAGCAACAGTTAGCTATATAGAAGACTTTAGAGTCCTCTTCCCATCGTATGGATGGCATACACTATAATGCTTGCCGTCGTGATGAAAGGATTTGCCATCGGCGTAACGTACTCGCCGATTGTTGCCCAGGGTGCATCAGACATACAGGGAACGAATGATATGTCATATGGGGAGGCTCCTTTCGTGGACCCCAGTAAATCAAGTAGGGCTTCGTCACTCGTTCAAGGTTAAGCGATAAACGCCTACCGCAAAATGTATCGCCGACAGTTCAAGCGCTCTGACTAGTCTTGTATTTACGTTACAATCCTTGTACACTCTTAGCTTGCACAACTCCAGTATTCGGTTCCGCACGACTGCACACGGCGAGAAACATTATTTTCACCTCTCTGAGAGCGTGCTTAGGTTCCTTTTTCCTCATTTCGAGCGCCTGGTGTCGTTAGTCAAATTTCGTAAGCTATTAGAGCGTAGATATTTTCAATTTTATATGAGAGAAATGTATCTGTTACGCAGTACTGTGGTTAAAGTAAGATTCGTTAAACAAAAGGGTTATTGGATTAGGAAGGCCGATCTCAATGGAGATTTATGACCATAATTTATCTTAATTTAAGTAAATCTAATAAACTATCAAGGCCTTTTCCTCGCAGGCTTTAGCCGTGCGCCGTCATCAGTGTGAAAATGTGGACGCTGATCCTCTAGTCTGGACAAACCAACGGTTCATGCGGTGGGCCCACAATATTGACTTAGGCGAATTCGCTGACAATCTTAAAGGTAACGTTTAGCTATTTTCCATTACTATATATAATATACTACATATGATATAGAAAAAAAATCAGTGGAACATGTTAAAACATGAAATAGAATTTAATTCTATTTTGGTTTTAATTATGTTTAAGTTATACAATTGAATTTAAAACAGGACGTAAATATTTTAAAATAGTCGAGAAAAATTTTTCGCAATAGCGCTTTCGCCCTTTCTATACAACACCGACCATATATCTTTTCCTTTGTATCTTTTTGCAAAATTTCATACTTCTATTTCTTAACAGACAGCGGAGTTCACGGAGGTCTAGTAGTTCTGGAACCTTCTTTTACCGGAGAAACAATGGCCACAGCTCTGGGCATTCCTCCATCCAAAAGTATTATTCGAAGGCATCTAGTCGCCGAGTTCGATGCTCTTATAATACCGGCTAGGTATGTACCAATATGTTTACCGACCTTTTTATTATAGGAAAATGTAATATTTACCGAACCACTTTCTTATTATAGGCAAATATTTAAACAGAGACGATGGCCTCGGTAAATACTATGTTTTCTGCATTCACTTCCAATCTATATTTATTTCGTAATATACATTATTTACTAACGAATATTTTACCTGTTGTCATGACATTGATATAACATAACAGAGTAATGGTGACCATGCACTGTTTACTGTTTAACGTAATGTTCTGTCCGCCCTGCGTAATGTATTAAGTACTAATGGAGTGGAGCGCGAGTCGCACTGCATGCCTAGTTGTCACCAGAGTCACGCCCCGTAGGTGAGCAACCTGTAGTTGATTATAATGTGAGGTGCAATCCTGCAGGTATACGATATTTTGCCAGGTGGAAGAACTGCAAGTGGAGGCTGCCCGAGCATCCATGTTGTCCACAAAACAAAGATAAATCAACTAAAATCAAAAAACTCTCCTTCAAAAAGTAATCGCTTCGATGCGCCCAATTTTCGGACTGTATATTCTGTGTAAATTTTTCTGTATCAAATGTTTGTAAAGTTGCTATTTTTACACAAATGTATTTTCTTTGCAAAGAATTAGGGTTCTTCCGTCAAACTCGCTCGCTTGTGAAACTTTTTGACCGCAAACTTGACGAGCAGTGAAGACTGATAAGCTATTGTAGGAATCGTGGTTTGTAAGTAAAAGAATCTCGAAAAATTGAAGCGTTCGGAAATATTCACAGCATTGTTTGGTACCCTCCTTTTCGCCTTCGTCAATGTTAGAGTCAATGTCTACACCGTGCCCCCTAGAGTCCTGACATGCTGTAGAGTTAGATTGTCACATTAATGTTTATTCGAGATTCATCGATTTTGTAACTTTAGTAAATGTATACAACTTAGTTGGTATGGACGTTAAGCATTAAATGCTTTATACCTATTATATAGGGGGTGAATCATATCCCGTTAAAACCTACATAAAATATTACTTAAAGGATTCGTTTTCATTGTCGAGGATTTTAAGAAATTATTATCAATCGATTTTGAGTCATTGCATTAATATCCATTTAGATATAAAAACGGACCCACTCACAATAGCTTTAGGGTTACAACAATAATAGCGTCTATTGTAAGATAACTATGTTTTTGACTTGTATACATTCGTAATGTAAAGTCGGCAGTTTATATTAGGTTCACTTGTAATGATATCTATTGACATATAAATGTGAATAAATCCTGATAAAAAGATGAAAGCTAACGGACATGGTGTCAGTTTGTTTTATTATCATCATCCTTAACTCGGCGCTCCTTGCATCGAGGCGGAACGGTAACAATCATTTTATCGATACATCATGAATGCCTGTCATCATCTCTAGAGCGCACCTTACTCGTCAGGCTCTGTCCACCTCTCTCCTTTCATTTGACATCAGTTTTGTCAGTTTTGTTTTAGAATCGACATTTTTCACCACATTGACATCTTGTGCTTCTCATATTTCGTTTACATCCTACATTGTCTTTCCGTTCTCACAGAGAGAAGTACTGCTTATTTATGCACATTTCATCGTAAAAGTATGCCAGTACTTGTCTTTGTCACCAGCATTTTTCAATATTTCCTTCAATTTATTTTTAATCATAACACACATTAGCATGATTCTCAATTTCAGCAAAATGCATCATGCTTTTGGTGTCTACTAATTTATGTTATTGATTCACTTTTTTTAATGTCTCTGTGTAAAGCTTTAATATAAAATGTAAATGTTAAAAAAACAGGGGATCCAAATACAATTAAATGTATAATACCTATAAATATTGATTCAGACCAGATTCAAATACAAAAGTTGCATGACAGCTTTTTGTGTTAGCGGGATTTATAAAACTGTCAATAATAAAGCTATCAGCTCTGCCTGGCTTCTCGTACAACTATTTTTCCTTTCATAATTTTTGGGATGCAATGTATGATACAGGTGAAATTTCAGGAATATGTTTGGCCATCAAATAAGGATGTTGGGGAGACCATTTTCGAGATCCGTTGCTACGGGGTTGCCGGGTATCGACTTCAGTGCAGATTCGAGAAGACACAGTTTAAGAGTAAGTACTGACACAAGATAATACCTAAATAAGTAAGCTAAGTTAAATTTAGTTGTGCTATATTTAAAATATTCTATCGCCAAAGAGTTATTTACAGTTGTGAGGGAAACCCTTCCTTCATTGTATAAATTCTCAACAAAGATCTCCATCCAAGAAAGCTATGAGGCGATTCGGGCAAAGTTCCAAGCACTAATTTGCAAACTTAGAATGTCCAAAGGCAGTCATAACGAACTTGAGCTGTTATGCAACTATTCTGAGAAACGTCCTAATTACTTTGCCAATTTAATTATGAACCCCTGACATTTGGTTATTCGATATTGAACATTAAAATTAACAACTTTTATCTCCAATAACATGACCCTTAATTAACTTTTATTACTTTAGATTTACATCTTTGCATTAAACAATAAACCTTAGGTAGATTTTACACGACGCCGCGCTACTGTGCGGTTTTTTTTGTATGAATTTATGTAAATATGGTTACATCACACACGACAAGCGCACGGTGTTCCATATGCACTATAGACTGTTTTAACTCATCCATTATTAAATCGATTTGGTATTTTTATTATTAGTTACAAATATTAATCCTGCTTAATTTCGATCGTACCATACGATCCAAGTCCAGTAACATAACAAAACAATAAACAAGTACAACATAATACAATAAAAATAGTTTCAATCATCAGTTGTTTCGGACAACAGTTGTTTCAGAATCCAGAATGTCAGAATCCAGTTAATGGAACGGCTACCTTGCTTCAAATAATTTATTTCTCAACAGGGATCAATAACGCGAGCACTGGGGGTGTTAAAACCAAAACAAGATCGCACATCGCCATCTAGTTCAAGCGAAAGCTCCAGCGTCCTGAGTTTGACAACGCAACCTTATCAAATGTCATACTCGCCCCCCATCGGCATGAGAACTCTATCTCAGCTCAGTATGACATACGCCCCACCGCCAACGTTACAGGAATATGAACCTATCTATACGCCATTGAGCCTGTACTCCCAGTCTAGCGTATCAACGAGGGATAGCCTTCAGAGATTGAATGATATTAAGGAGAATACTGGTATCACTCATAGGTGAGTTTTTCATCATCATCATCATTTCAGTCGAAAGACGTCCAATGCTGGACATAGACCTCACCCAAAGACACCACAACGACCGGTCTGCCGCAGCTTGCATCCACCGGATTCCCGCAACCTTCACTAGGTCTCATCGATGCGCCTTGCAGACCATCCGGTCTGCCCACTCGAGAACTTTTTGTCCCCATCGGCTATCTGTTCTGCAAGCAATATGCCCCGTTCACTGCCACTTAAGCTTTGCAATTCTTTGAGATATCTCGATTACTATGGTTCTTTTGCCGATATCATCATTTCTGATGGACGTCACCCTAAAACATTGAACCATTGTAAACTGTAAACTTATAGAGAAGAAAATTATCTTACTTTGGCCCATGAATATTTAAAAAACATTCCTTTACAGGTATGGTCAGAAGGCAGATACGCATGCACACAGAGTGAGCTCTCCTTTACCCGCTCAGTCTCTTGACGACTCATCCATCAAACAGAAGCGCCATCGTCGCGTTAAAAGCATCGGAGACATCAATGCGTGCACCAAAGCCTCAGTGTATGAACACTAAAGGCTGACGGTTTAGATTGATCTTTACCATGATAGGCCACTTTACATTACTGCTTTACGGAATGGAAGCTAATTATTGTAACCAACTTTATGTCAATTGCGTAACGCGCAAACGTATAATAAAGTTCATTATGCTATGTATAATTTTGTTACAAAAGTTCGCTTCCGTTCCGTTCCGCGGCACTGTAAATAGAGCTTTACGGCATTTAGAAGAAATAAATCCTTCTAGCAGGTACTTTGATGTCAAAAGTCAACAATAGCTTAACCATAGCAGGATCGAAAGGTAATTTGTCAATCTTCACTCTTTTTGGGATAAAAACTAGCCATTTCGACTTGACAATCAGAATCTCCGTACAAAATCGCATATCAGAAACAGACTTCAATCATAATCAATAGCTTATACTTAAACTACGGTATCAAACAAGGCTGCCACTTGAAAAACTTACGCTTTCATATTTAAGCAAGTATAGGTACGAACTAAGTGTGTTATGCGTATAGTCATTAATATCTATGCAGTATTGTTAATAATCATAGTTACCAGCTGTGTATTGGTTTTTCAATGTGGTAGTGTTGGTTGCTTTATTTTCCATAGCATAGATATGTTGGTGGCACCGTACCTCACTTACTTTTTGTTGGTTTATGATGGTAGCCTAGTTTTACTGAGCGCTTATGTTAAACTAATTTTACAAATGTAAAGTATTGATGTTCTTTTCGATGTTAATTCATTTGTAAAGAACGAGACAATTTAAATTATGACGTCACATTTAGACCATCGTCTATGGCGTTATTTTCATACCTAAAATATCGTTTGGAGCATAGTGTTGAACTTGTATATCGACCGCGCCAAGTTGAAAGCGTATATGCATAATACTTCTATAATAAGACAATTAGGGTAACTTCATACAAACATAGCATTGCGGCTTGTATGTGTGCAAGTCTACCGTGTGCTGTGTACACTCACGTTGCATACCGCGGGTCGTCTCACGCGCCATTTATTATAGAATTGAAGCGTTCGTTCGGTGTTTAAAAAAATGATATCAAATAGTAGACATGTTTATTGTTGTGTTTATAGTGTTTTGAACAAGAGAGGCTCAAATTGAGAATTGTTCAGCTTTTTATTTCTACTTCTATTTCATAATCATGCTCCCATAATCAATACCAATCTGCGATGCTGGTATGACAATATCAATACGTAAGTACTGTACTTAACAAAGATTATTTTAATACAGCTCGAGAATACTGTGATGAACCTCATAATTTATTTAAATTATGTGACAACCCTACGTTCCGAACGAAATGTAGGCGTTGATGGGCCCAATAAGCAGGATGGCCTTACTTGTCTTATTATACTATGGTATATGAGAGTATTTTGTACTGTTCAAACGGACTACCATAATACCGTCCTTATCATAAACAACATAATCGACATTTTTAGCGAAATTGAGATATTGGCAAATCTGAAATCAGCAAAACGAGATCTACAACCCCCTCTAATCGGTTTTTTATATCTTATTTAGTTTCAGTTTAATTCACATTTTTCCAAGAAAATAAAACTGAAAGTCAAAGTTAAATAATCAAAAAATAGGTAAATTTTTTACACTTGAAAACGTCATTTTTTTAAGCTACTACTCGTTCACTGTGCCGACTTCCCTGAGAAGAACGATAAATAAACTTAAATGCTATTAGTACATTTGAATAATATTTGTGCGGAATCTAGACTCGTGTTGTCTTTCCATACATCTTTATCTAACACGTAGTCTACAATTTTGTAATATGACTTTTCAATTAAAATACTTTTAATATAAGTTTTAATCTTAGTGCCAATATCTCGAAAGTTACCAAAATTCAAATGCCTTGTTTATGACAAGAATGGCAGTATTGTTTTTGCATATTGACGTTTTTTTCTGTTGTTTGCTTGCCTATAGTGACAAATTATCCCCGTTTAGCCTTTTAAGTGACAATAAATAGGCACACTGCGTCAATGTTGCCGCGATTGTGTACATTGCATTGGCTTACATTTGTGAATTGTGTGAACTAGGCCAGTATACACGTCCTTTAAACATAATCTTATGAGTATGAAAATACCCCAACAGACGTCGCTCTAAGTCGTTTAACCTAGCTGCGCGCTAATATCGACCCGTATATAATTATGATAATGAACATAATAAATGGTTGTTTTAATTATTAATATAACTATTAAACCACTCACATTTTACGTTTTGCTCACGCTGTAATAATGCCGATCACTGTGATAACAAATTCACGCAACAACCATATACCAAAGAGCTTCGGATTTTGATATTAAAGTAAAATTAACAAAATATTAGTCAATTTATATGTGTAATTTTACTTAGTGAACTAAATTATCGTGTAACCATTCCTATCGAGCTTCTCGAATTTTGTATTTGTTTATAATTTTTAACACTAACTAGGGATTCGATGCTGTACACATTTCTAACGTAAGTATAAAACTGAATACGTACAGTCGATAGCCTAAGATACCTAACCTCCTATAGTCCATTTGTTTAGGTACTTAAATAAATGTCAACAATCTTGATACATATTTTTATTGGAACATGTACTTTACAAATCAATAATTATAAAAATAGGCATGCAATTCATATGAAGCTCAAGTATTTGTATTCTGTATTTGAAAGTAAGTAAAAATCATTTTATAAATGTATGGGGCTATGTTGAGTGTGTGCGTTATTATTATATTATTATTATTATTATATTTCATTGAATAAACATGGTTTGCATTTAATTACTTACCTAAACAAATGGACTATAGCCGTCTATTTTGATTCTGAATAGATCAGTGTAAAAAAGCTGTGAGACATGACCCTTTAACCCGTGATCCGTAAAATTCATATTGGTATGACTTCCTTATTGCATCATTAGTAAATGAGACGTTTTAAGAAACTTTTTAAGCCAATTTGATCTTTAATTATACTAGATAAATACAAATTTCAACAAAAAAACTTTAATTTGTTTACACTTTTCTCTTGAATGCGTAACCAGGCTCTCAGAACCAAAAGGTAGGGTATCTGAGGGCATCGACTGTACATAAATGAACTCATACATGTAACATATCAGTACAATGTAGGTACACATAAAAGGCTTATATCAAAAGAACAGGACCCTAAAATCCGTTCACATTAAAAAGGCATGTAATTGGACATTTACTTTTTGTATATTTTGCTTAAAGTAGCGCTAAAGCTATTTGATTGGTTATTAGGCAGTTAGTTTTAAACATACATACTCGATGGCTTAAAAGAATTATATATTAACAACTAGTCAATTAAAAGCACAGAACTCTAAATAAATAGCCACTTCCGTGGTTAAAAGTAAAGTTGTACTAGTCATGTTTAGTTTAAATTAGAGAAATGTGCAAAGCAGAATCTACTAGTTCTATTTACATTGATTGATTTAAAAATGGTAAATTTTGTTATCGGTTTTTAATTTGTTTGAATTATTGATTTGTTTTAATTTTTGTTATAATATTTATTTATTTAAATTATCGTGATATTTTGTTTGTGATACACTTGAGTTACCAATCTATTAGTTAGGATTTTTATACAATCTTCTGAAATAAAACGGTATTGAAAATAAGATGTGTTTTATTTATTATTAAGCAGAACTTTAAGGACTACTTAAATAAAAAAGGAACGAAGGGATTGAATACTCATTTTCATCATCATATCAGCCGGAAGACGTCCACTGCTGAACATAGGCCTGCCCCAAAGATTTCCAGACCAGCCAAACGAACGCGACGTGCATCCATCAGTTACCCGCCGCCCTTACCAGGTCATCGTTTATCTAATAGGGGGCCGTCCCAGTGAACGCCTTCCGGTTCGTGGTGTCCATTCAAGAACCTTTCTGCCCCAACGGCCGTCAGTTCTACGAGCTATGTGCCCTGCTCACCGCCACTTCGACCAGCCAATCCTTCGAGGTATGTCGGTGACTTTCGTTCTTCTACGGATCTCCTTATTTTTGATTGGATCACGTAGAGAAATGCCGAGGATTGCTCGCTCCATAGCTCGTTGAGTGACTTGAGCTTTTTTATGAGGCCCATAGTAAGTGACGTCTCAGAGCCGTAGGTCATCGCTGGCCTGGATTGAATACTAAAAGCTAACAAAATTGTGACCTTAGAGCGATAACACACGTCGACTTGTAGCAGCGATACAAACAAACGTTTGTGAAACGCGCAATTGCATCGCGACAAGAGTTAATAAGTGGTTGCATAAATGCAAACGCGTGACTCCTCAGACAGTTGCTTATGTTGCATTACTTTTTGCGAAAAATCTGCCCAGGTTTATGCACATTGTTTTGTCTTGTTAATTGTAAATTACACAGTGAAAAAAATAAATTAATTACAAACGTGTGCCGCGATTGTATCGCGATGCAAATTCGGACGTTGGTGCGTTTAGCGGGGCGTTTTCTGGGTGTGCGCGTACACCTTCAACTAAACTCAATTCAACTTGAACGGCTCGCTGAACACACCAGCACCGTTGCGAGTTTGTGGTCTGAGTCACATGTGTGTCTAAAGCATTAGGAAGTTCCAGAAATAAAATTCCAACTCTATGTTTATTAATATGAAGACTATTATGATTGTGCAGTTCGCACGATAATATGGCACGGTAAAGTAAAATGAGAGGCACTGTCCTCTGAGACTCCAAGAAACAGAATGCCGAGCACTCGAGTATTAATTAGAATTAAGAATACCTACTTTAGCTCTATAGTGGGGGTTTTTGGTAGAGCTGCATTTTTGACGCCACCAACAGAATGTACTGCGGTGCCATCAACTAAAGTTAATGTGGCGCCATATTGATGGCGCCACATTCATTGGAAAGTTACTGAAGCTGTCGACCGAACAATTTAGCAACGGAAACAGTACTCATGACCAAATATACTCTTTAATACAAATAGTGCTCTAATATTACAAAAATAAAATTACACTAACACAAAAGTCTTTATATATTTAATATGACGCTTACAAAAGGTAGACGATTAGCGACTACATCGCGACTAAATCGCCGTGTGTAACCGTTCTTAGTCATAGAATATCTAATAATACGAACTTCAATTTTCCATTCCATTCCAACTGTTAAATTTCTATCCTAAGGTTGACTGGAAGAAATTGCTACTTAGCAATAAGACCGCCTGTTGTACATTATCTTATTCTGTGATACTTACATTACTGTTCTGTTTTGTCCTTGTAGTTTTTAATGTGCGATAACGAACATTTCATTCATTCATTCATTCATTCTCTCACTCATTCATCCATTAAACAAAACACCAGATATTACAGAAACGCAATATCCTGCTAAAACTAAGAGAAAACAATTTATTTTCAATCTGCACGTGTCTCCGATACAAAAGATTTTCTTTCATGTAACGGACCACTTGCTATTTATTTAATAGCTCATTCCAAAACGTTCACAAAAGAAACCGCCCAAGTTTGGAGATATGGGAAAAACACTCGGGATTCCTTTGAAACTGTTAAGGCATAAGAATATATCATGATTTAAATTCCTTTGGGGTTTTACCTTTGTTCTACGTATGAATTGTAAGTATGCAAGTAATTTTATTTACAAAATTGAAACAAATAAGTTGATTGATATACGAGAACAATCGTGATGGTTTTACTTATTTTTAAATTTATTGTAAAAGACTCCCCTTCTTGTCATAATTGCATACTTCTAATGCACGTGCAGCATGTGGGGTCAAAATCACATCAAGATTAAGACTTTGGACTTTGGACATCTTTTTGCAAGCGGCATAGAGTCGAATTCAAATCTTAACTGACTCTGCCACCTTACCTATCTCTCTTCAGATATTTCCAATTGAAAGCCAGAGCTTTGAGCCACTCAGAAGTGACACTGCAACTGTTATGGGCAGATGTGTAGCTTATCATAAATAAAATATGCTTATCATATAAAAAAATGGACATGGAACA